AAGTACATGTACGTAACACCCGTAAATGGTAATGTCAACAGACAAGCAACCTCGTCGGAAGAACAGAGAACTGAATTTTATTTAAGAGTCACCGGTGCATATCTCCCCGTCGGCTGCACCATTCGGCGACGTGATGGGAAAAAATCGCTCTGCCCGGCGTAGGCTCAAGCGAGGCAAGGATCCGGCCAGTGTTGCAGCGGCTGGTCTCGCTTACGAGCCGCCGGACGGGGGTTGGGGCTGGCTGGTCGCCGTCGGCTCCTTCACCGAGATGTTCCTGACGATGGGAACGCTGCTGTGCAGCGGCGTCTACTTCACGCCGGTACAGGAAGAGTTCGAGGTCAGCAGCGCCGAACTAGGATGGATCATAAGTTCCGGCTCCACTTTGCTTTCAGCAACATGTGAGTCCAGTCTTCATGTTCATCCATTTTATACATTTGAACGCTTGCCCAAAGAAGAAAGGCAAACATTACAACATTGGGAAAAACCTGTGGCCGTTTTTTTTTCAGCTCCACTCCCCCGTACTGATTCCCGCATCGTCACCTCTTAGGGTCAAATCCCACTCCCAGGGAGGTCAAGGCGATATGTGGGTGGTGACGACAGAAATTTATTTTGTCTTCATATTGGCTGGTGCCAGACGCAACAAAAGTGCACACCATGCGGCGTGGCACTAATTGATTCATGGAAAAATTCGCAGCTGATGAACTCCATTACAAATCAGGCAACTCAAGCGTTCTGTTTACTCACACACGGTCACAGTTCCTGTTCCCTGACTTTGAATTGTAATAGTTGCAACAGTGCAAAGTGTAGCAAGAGCAATAATTAAGCCGCGACTATAGATAAAGACCCAGAAAAATCAAACACGCGAAGTCGACGGTGTTTTACTGTGCCAATAGCATTTTCTTAGACAAAGCGAGGTAGTCTAACCATTGCCCTGATTAAAACTAAGGTGCTGATTAAGTTTTACTTCATGTTTTAGGCGTTTAATACTTTCTAGGCGTGAGTTAACTTAAGCCAACAATGCAGTTGTGGCTACTGTCGGTTTCCCTCGAGCCCTGGTCTCACTTAACGATGAAGGAAAATAATGTGACATTTGGTTGTCATCACTGCTTGGTGGTTGTTTTTTTTTTGGGGGGGGGAGGCGAGAAGGATTGAGGAAGGACGTGTGGAAATGGATACCATTCCACGCCCTCCCAACAACTGACTTGTTTTTTTTTGGGGGNATGTACATGTACGGAACACCCGTAAATGGTAATGTCAACTGACAGGCAACCTCGTCGGAAGAACAGAGAACTGAATTTTATTTAAGAGTCACCGGTGCATATCTCCCCGTCGGCTGCACCATTCGGCGACGTGATGGGAAAAAATCGCTCTGCCTGGCGTAGGCTCAAGCGAGGCAAGGATCCGGCCAGTGTTGCAGCGGCTGGTCTCGCTTACGAGCCGCCGGACGGGGGTTGGGGCTGGCTGGTCGCCGTCGGCTCCTTCACCGAGATGTTCCTGACGATGGGAACGCTGCTGTGTAGCGGCGTCTACTTCACGCCGGTACAGGAAGAGTTCGAGGTCAGCAGTGCCGAACTAGGATGGATCATAAGTTCCGGCTCCACTTTGCTTTCAGCAACATGTGAGTCCAGTCTTCATATAAAAATTCTTTCCTCCTCCACACTGAATTTCTGTTCATGTTCATCCATTTTATACATTTGAACGCTTGCCCAAAGAAGAAAGGCAAACATTACAACATTGGGAAAAACCTGTGGCCGTTTTTTTTTCAGCTCCACTCCCCCGTACTGATTCCCGCATCGTCACCTCTTAGGGTCAAATCCCACTCCCAGGGAGGTCAAGGCGATATGTGGGTGGTGACGACAGAAATTTATTTTGTCTTCACATTGGCTGGTGCCAGACGCAACAAAAGTGCACACCATGCGGCGTGGCACTAATTGATTCATGGAAAAATTCGCAGCTGATGAACTCCATTACAAATCAGGCAACTCAAGCGTTCTGTTTACTCACACACGGTCACAGTTCCCTGACTTTGAATTGTAATAGTTGCAACAGTGTAAAGTGTAGCAAGAGCAATAATTAAGCCGCGACTATAGTTAAAGACCAAGAAAAATCAAACACGCGAAGTCGACGGTGTTTTACTGTGCCAATAGCATTTTCTTAGACAAAGCGAGGTAGTCTAACCATTGCCCTGATTAAAACTAAGGTACTGATTAAGTTTTACTTCATGCTTTAGGCGTTTAATACTTTCTAGGCGTGAGTTAACTTAAGCCAACAATGCAGTTGTGGCTACTGTCGGTTTCCCTCGAGCCCTGCGTTGGGCACGTGGTCTCACTTAACGATGAAGGAAAAGAATGTGTCATTTGGTTGTCATCACTGCTTGGTGGTTGTTTTTTTTTGGGGGGGGGAGGCGAGAAGGATTGAGGAAGGACGTGTGGAAATGGATACCATTCCGCGTCCTCCCGACAACTGACTTGTTTTTTTTTTGGGGGGGGGGGTGTCTGCACGCAGGCCCGATCGGCAGCGCCTGCGTCAAGAGGTTCGGTTGCCGAGTGACGTCGCTGATTGGCGGGTCGGCTGTGGCCTGTGGGTTCATCGCCAGTTCCTTCGCTGGGTCCAGCATCCACATTTTCATCACGCTGGGTCTGATTGCAGGTATGTTGAGTTTTTTTTTTCCTTGTGTTCCCTTGGCCCACAGTCGCATGTTTTCATATCCCCAAAGTAAAAGAAAATTTCCAAAGGTTTTCACTAAGTCTTCATTTTCCAGCTTGTTACTTACACTCAAAATTCAACTTTTAAGCCCATTTTTTTTTTGGAAGTTCGGCTTCAGAGTAGTCCGTATTTGGACAAATCCAAACCACCAGTATTTTTATGTTTTGTCAACTGCACAGCTATCTCGTTGTCTTCTGACCTCACGTGGAAAATGTTTGGTTCTGCCCCGCTTTCCGGTGGTGACTACATGTATACTCAGCGACTTGAACAAGGCCCAGGCCACCAGTCAAAATGTTTGGTGACCTTCGGTATCATAAAATCAACCCTTGAACTATGGATTGCTATTTAGGTCGACAGTCGGCGACAGCGTTGCTTAGCAGGAGTCATACATTGTGCACGCCTGCAGTATGTGTGTGTTACTAACAAAAACTATATCATCGCTGATATTCTATATGCAAATTTGTAAGGGTCACATGTAGCCTACATCACGAGTCTGGGCAAAATGTCTGGCAACTGCGAGAGTCCCTGGAATGTCGATCGTATCGGGGCTCATTAGCCGCCGAGGGTTACGCATGATGTAAGGTTTACAATAAAACGTAGTCATGTATGCTGTGCTCCAGAGGACGTGACCAGACAGCAAAACGTATTCCACTCTGACTGCAAAAACTCGGACCGTCTCCTTTTTCTGGCACCTGGATTCCCACACAGTCAATCCCTTTATGATATCACTCTGATCGTAAATATTAGCAGGCCCGCTGGACCCGTGATAGATATTTGGGGGTTTTAAAAACGGTGAAGAGTCGAAGGACCATTTCCGTAAAGGAGACACAACGATTTTATAAAAACAAACAAAAGTTGACGTCATGGGTGAAGTGAAACGTGAAATCAATGTTTTGTAGGTGTGTTGGTTCAACACATTGAAATATCCACTCGTTCATAAGGCGTTTTGGTTTTATTAGACGCACATGGGCTTGAATTTGGCCGATTACGAGAACGATAGAGTTGCCATGGTGCATGGCTTGCCCACGCCACTCACTTGAGGTTAAGTGACCAGTCTGTGAGCGCAGTAAGCAAAGCCAGTTTTCTGTTGACCCGTACCGAACTTCGTTCCCCTTCCGCAGGCATTGGCTCCGGACTCGTGTTTGTTTCGGCAACGGTCATTCTCGGCCACTACTTCAAGAGGCGCTACGCCATCGTCAATGGGCTGGCCTTCACCGGCCCCGGCATCGCCATCTTCGTGTTGCCGCCGTTGCTGGACTACCTCATCAAAAACTACGGATGGAGGGGCTCGCTCCTGATACAAGGCGCCATCGGGATGCACACCGTGGCGGCGGCGGCGCTGTTTCGACCGCTGCCCAGTGAGCTGTGTTATCGTAGCCACAGGAAGACTGGCTCCAAACGCAGCAACCTGACGGCGGCGAGCTATTCGCGTATTGAAATGGAGGAATTTGAAACTGGGTGCTCGGAGAGGGACGAGACTAAATCGGCAATTGATGAAAATGGCAACAGGAGGGACGATGATTTGCTAAAGGAAGGGGTGACGGAAAGCCACGTTGATTCTACTGCGAGTATAACATCGGACAAGGAAATGAATTTATCAAAATGGAGAGGTTCTTCCTCGAGTATTTGCCAATCTCCGAGTGCCGAAATCGGGCAAGTCCGGGATCCGGTGCCAGCAGATCACATGGCGTTCGACAGTGAATCGGGAGCAGACGCTTCGGAAAGTAATGAGGAAAGCGTGGACCAATCAGACGCGGCTTGCAACGGCAGCGACCAATCGAAACGCGTCAGGCGTTCTTCGTCAGACAGGCTGAGCTTCCGGAACAACTGTTGGCCTCTGTACGCGGCGGCGTTCGTGCTGGTCTGCCCAGTCAGCTTCTTCCAAGCCTGTGCCTTCTACTCAGTTACTATCCACTTGGTCGCCCGCACGGGCCTAGTGGGCGTGTCGGCCCACTTGGCCGGTATGTCGCTGTCGGCCCTGGGCGCGGGGTCCTCGTTCACCAGACTGGCCCACGGCTGGTTCATCCACCGCGGCCTGGTCTCCGCCATCACGGCCTACATTATCGCCCTAATCGTAGGGGTGATTGGCGCATTCGGCAACGCCGTGTCTCGGACCTACGTCGGCGTGATGATAGCGTGCCTTGTCATCGGTTTCTCCTCAGGTTCCGTGTACCCGCTCGTCCCAGTAGTACTGCGAGATTTGGTTAGTCTCAGGGGACTGCCTACAACCTATGGATTAGCAATGTTCTTTGACAGCTGTGGAGTATTTGCTGGCGGCTTCACGGCAGGTTAGTTGTTTTCCGAGCTGAGAGTTGCGACATGAGTATCTCAATAGTGGGAACCAAAATGGTGGATCATGCGTCGGTGCACGCAAAATTAACAACCATTTTGGTTCCAGCGTCTGAAGTTGGCGCTTCTCTCTCTATAAACAGCTGTGGTTCTTTTCATTGATTAACACCAGTCTTTAAAACTTGAAATGATTTAAAAATTTAAGGATTCTTGCATTTAAACCTCCCTTTGGCTTATGGCTGGAATACTTTCAGGGGATTGCGGCAAAGTGCTCTTTCAACCTCTCTTTGACAAGTATTGAAACCATTTTTCCTATCGTGCTGCAGGGCTTTTGCGTGACGTCACAGGCACCTACACGGCATCCTTTTGTACCACTGGAGTATATTACTCCATAGCTACATTATTTTTAATCCTCGTCTTCTTCATCATGAGATTGCACCGTGGACGTGAGCAAGCGGAAGCTGAAGTGGTACCCAGTGAGCGGCTGGAGAATGGAGACTACCAGAACGTTTGACTTCCAGTCTGCAAGTAATGAACCTGAACAGTGGTGGTGGCGTGAGACTGAAGTATTGTAAAGAGAAGTATCGTGTCTAATGCTTACAAAGCGTGTTGCATTCGAAAAGAATGTCCAACTGTCATCTCTGCTTGTTTGTGGATTTCGTTGTTATATTTGCCGCACAAAGAACCATTTCTACGATGGAAGCTAGGTTTGGGATTATGTATTTCTTCACAATAGCTTACCGCACGAAATATATAAGTATTTTTCTTTCCTTGAAATGTTTCTGGCTTTAATTTGGCATTACCTTCGAAGTCTACTTTGCGAATATATGTATAACATGTTAAAACTTGGGGAACTAACACAGATGTTACCTCAGTTTCTAGTGATGAGCGTTTATCTGTATACATTGAATGAAAAAAAACCTTATGCTAAAAGAGTGAATTTAACTGTATAGAATTAACACATAAAGATTACGCGATAAAATATCAAACACGTATTTAAGTCAATGGATCGTGGTGGGCATTAAATGAATGCATGAATTATATTATCATGGTGATTAATTATATGACATGAGCTATTTATTTTGGCTTCCTTTGCAAGATTTGTACGTGTTTCCATCCGTTACTGTCCCTCACCTTTATGCTCTAAGCACCTCAGTTTCTTACATCGTGTAGCAAGGCTTTGCTTTAGGTCAACGCGCACAATACAGTGGAACACTGTTACAGCAAGGTCCTTGAGACCTAACAAATTACCTTGTTATAATCGTTAGCTTATATTAATTAGCAGAAGTGGAGAACAAAGACTTGGGACCTAAAATTGACCTTGTTATAAACGTGACCTTGTATATTTAAAGTGGTCTGTGTTCGATCGTATACTGATTTTAAGGTAATACACGTGTCGTCACAGTTGAACCTCGTTAATTAATAAGATATCCTTTGAACTTTGCAGATTATGCAGATTACTTTGTTATAGCAGGAACCAGTCATTATGAGGAATAAAAACAATGAAGAACAAAGAATTGGGATCTAAAAATTTCCTTATGAGCAGAATATTGTATTAACAGGACATATTCTTTGAGTTTTGGTGAGTTAGTCCTCAGTTCAGTCCTATCTGCTTCAGTTTACAGTGAAATACCGGGAATCCTTGGGGGAAATTGTTAGCAAACGGGAGGGAAGCTTTTTTCTTGACTCGTAGTTGAATATTCAATTAATCAAGCAAGCAAAAAACAAAAGACAAAGTCAAAGATAAAAAAGGAACGAACGAACAAAACGAAGTAAAACTAAACAAAAACGAAAGTAACCAACAGGGCACCAGTGCATTCCCTTACGCTAACAGGAACCTAGGGGGCCTCCGCTTACAGGCCTAAGGCCTACATATGTACATTCTTAGCACTTTATAACCTGATGAACTTGACAAAGAAGGTAAATAATCCATCAACGGAAATCACTTGAAACATTTTTGCAGAAAGGCAAATTAGGAGCAGCTTCTCACAAGCTACAGGAAACCAAATCATCCGGCATTTCCCTTGGGCAGAAGAGAGGGACCTCGATTTTTCACCAGCCAAGTTTTGGGCTCTCAACTAACCATGGCAACGGGGTTATTTCATCATACGTTTGCACAGAGAGTGGATTTTCGTTTCATACGGCTAACAGTGCTCTGTAGTCGGCACTTTAATTCATGCTGTGCAGAGAAAAAGAGTTGGACTGATTGTTACACACCCTGGTTCTAAAACACGCTATTGTACACGCCTTATCTTAAACACGGTTTAAAGTACCATGCAGATTTCTGGGCTACATCAACTTAAACCCTGAGCACATTCAAAGGTCAGCTGAGCCGCCGTCCTTATTTTTGTTGTTGAAACACACGCAGATTTCCGTAGAAAGGTGTACACAACAACTGTCACAAAATCTGTGAGTTTTAGTGACACAGGTGCATAAAAATCAACATCAAAACTTACTTGGAAAACCCGTGGTGGAGTGTGGACAGCACAGAGTGAAACCTACCCGTATAAGCCGATGATTTTGAACTGCCGCGCCCTTTCATTTGAAAAGGACGACCCGGCTCTAATTAATGCAAAATATCAGTGCGCCCATATGCAAAGTAGTCCCCCTTGAGTGATGTGGTCGGTGTTCCCGAATAAGCCTTATGCGAGTTCTTTAAATTTACGTGAACACAACAACTTGAATTCTCCATACTAAAACCACTGTTGCTATACCTCGTGATTCGGGGCAAGCTTTTGCTTAGTTATGTAAGAGACGTGTGAGTCATTCGGCTGAGCTTGGTAACAAAATAATGGTTTTACCTCTACATTCATAGGCTCACCTTTCTGTGCATTCTGTAAATTTATTGCGTGTCTGTTTTCCTATCCTTGAACCACCCTGCCACATTCATTATGAAAACGCAGCTTGTATCGGCGAACCACGAGAATTTTTTGAGTCGGCATTTCATTTCAGCCACCTTTTGAGTTGTTCCAAGCAAGGAAAGCAGTAGTTGAAGCAATCTTATCAACACGCTTCATGTACGCTGGCCGAAGTTCGAGAATCACGCTGGCCTAATCAGTTGAAAACCCAGGCGTGCATAATTTCGCGCGCGAGCTGAGCATGCCGTTAACCTCGAAGATCGTAGCAGTCGTGTCTTTACCCGCACGTCGTTTACTTCAGCTCTCGGCAACTGAAGTGGAAGCTTCAGGAATGATTGCGCCCTCAATCGGCCGCCGTGTCCCAGTGACTTCCAGTTTATCTACTCACCTTGTTATTGAGAGAATTTCCTCTCAGGACGAGATGAGAGATCCAATCGACCAGCTTTCTGTATCCAGATTGACGTTTTCTTCCTCTGGAGCGTGTCCAAATTTGATGCTTGCAGCTTTTAATTGGCTGCAAATTTTGAACCTGCCGTTCCCAAATACTCAAAGTGTATTGCCAATACATGTAGGCCTACATGCATTCATTTAAATCACCGTGATTAATTCAAAAAGACCAAGCAACAACCGAACTTAATACGGGCGATTTACAATACATGTAGTGCGCCTCCAAGAGTTTGCAAAGCGTTCGTCAATCACAATGCGCGAAATCTGTCGACCCAGTGCGTGTCTGGAAAGGGTCAACAGATTTCGCGCGATGTGATTGGCTAACGCGTTGCAAACTCTTGGAGGCGCACTATTGTATTATCTGCTTAACCTGTAATACTGAATACCAGAAGGAGATAAATAAGCAAAAGTTGGAACTGCATTGTGTTGTTTATTAATTTTGTCCTTAGCTGAAGCAGATCAAGTTGTTCTTTCTACACTCTGGGAGCAGGCGCACTGGGCGTGGGTGTTTCATTGCCTGTACTCAAGCATTTTCATAAATGCTTCATTTTTAATCCAATCAATTGCGCGAGCCACAATCACGTGTGTCTTTTTTCTTTTTATTGCTGAACAATATTGTTTATAAATAGTAACTAGGTACTAATAAAATTTGAAAGAGCGGCCACAATGGAGCGTACGGTCCAGCCCACCAAAGGCAATTTGATAAGAACATGTAATAGCATTGCTTAAAAAGTTATTCTCATTAAAAAAAAAACACTCTTAAAACTATTTACAATGCATAAAGTAAGCTAAAACTTTTCAGTAAAAATGAAGACTGTCTTTGCACATGGGTCAAGCTTTTGGCAGAAAAATGCCAACAACACAGGAAAGGAATACACCATGCTTTAACACAACACAAGTGTTTATCTCATGAGATGTACAGGCGTCAATAAGCCATTTGCGAGTTAAATTTGAATAAAAACTGGTACACTGAGTTCTTTAAATTCACGTGAACATAACAACTTGAATTCTCCATACTAAAACAACTGTTGCTATACCTCGTGATTCGGGGCAAGCTTTTGCTTACTTACGTAAGAGACGCCTTGCAACAATACACTGTTCTCCACGGATAAGAACGGCACAAAGGAACCAGTCCATTCCAGAGATGGTGGTCACTGTGCAAAAGCTTGCCCCGAATCACGAGGTATAGCAACGGTGTCTTTAGTCTGGGGAATTCAAATTGTTACGTTTCTATGCAATCAGATAACACAGTGTACCATATTTGATTCAAATTAAACTCGCAAGTGGCTTATTTAAAGAATACATGTACACGTAGTTGATTCAACCTGGAATTTCAGTCAGAATCTTCACTACCATTTCACAGAACCACCAACAAGGCTCCAGTTATGCTTGCGGTGGTTCATAACTTGGTTAGCTGGATCTGTGTGGAGTTTTTAGGGGTGGGCACCATGTAACCGTCCTCCGCCACCTCGCAGGCGTCTGAAGACGCCTGGGCGGGCGATACCCTTCCGCCGGTGAAAGTAGCCCTGCTGCTGTCGGGGTAGATGGATAAGTACGACCGGTCGGTATTCCTCCGCGACAGCCCGTCCACACTCTGATAGTCGTGATCCGTCTTCGTCGTCTTCACGCTGGCGTTTCTCGACACGGACTGGCCACCGTCCTGCTCATCTGGCAGGCGGTGGATAGACATCGCCCTCGGGTCGTTGCGGATGGAGAGGTAGATGGGCTCGTCGAAGTCGGCCGTGTCGTAACCCGGGTCGTAGATGCCGGAGTCGGCCTGTCCGTCGTTTTCGTCGGCGATGGCGTAGGCGGCGTTTACGTGGGCGTTATTCTGTCGTCCGATTCTGCTGCGAACTTGTTTATAACTGAAATACAAATATTATTGATACAAGAAAGGAAAAAGAAAATGGAATATGGCTAAGACACTGGGTATGAATCTTCTACTGCCAAATAAATGGATAGGATTTGTCTGCATACCTTGATGTAAACAGGACCGCTGCAGTCAAAAACAGGAGTAAGATAAGGATGATGCCCACAGCAATCGCTACTATGACAGCTGAAACAAACGAATTGCATTTAAATTAATTGATTGTGTTCTGCAGGGAACAACGTCAACAGGTGCATGATAGGAACGTTTTGCAGCCAATTAAATACATGTACATGTATACAATGGTGGCCCCGACTGAACACGAAATCAGTGTCATTTTTCGCAATTTCTCACCTATGGATGGTGCTTCACCGGTGCCCCCACTGACCACCGTAATCGATCTCGGCGTGGAGGGCGGCACGCCCTCAACGGTGGCAGTGTTCGGAAAAGTCGTGACAGCGTCGCTGCCATCGGTTTCAACAGTCCTGCTGACGAGGGGCTTGGTTGTGCGCGTGATCGGCGACGTTATGAATTTCGGGGAGGAGGTTCTTGGGCGCCACGCGGTAGTTTCCCCTGTGGTTGGCGTTTGCGTTATCGTGGTGTCGGCTGGCAGTGCCGTCGTTACGTTTAATTGCATTGACGGATCTGTTGAAGACAAAAAGTGAATAACGTGAGAAAAAGAAATCACAGTTGGATGTGTTGAAACATGCATGTCCCAGCTTGAACCAACAATTACATGAAAGCGTTTTTAGTATATTCAACTCATGGGGTCGCAAGTAGGTTTAGGAGCGAGTCGAGCGCGACAAAGAGAGGGAGCAGCGGAGGTTCCTTTGGTAGGAACCTACAAAAATGAACACACCGACCAACATGGCTCTTTTTCAACCGGTGAGGGGGTGCTTCTGCTCAAGGTGGATAGCTCTTCAAAGATTGTTGTAATATTACACACAATCAATCGTCTGAAATCATTCTTACTCAATATGGGCGCAGGTGTACCAGCCAGGACAACTTCATCACATGATTCAAATGTAATGAAGAAGAGTCGAAGAAGTTGTGTGTTTCCCGCTGCCTCTTAAAATATTTATGCTCCCATAGTATTCATTTTGGAGTGAAACACAGACGTAAGGCTCAAGTACCCACGACTCGTACGAGTTTGTCGGTTACCCGTTGTCCTTATCAGTTTTGACTTTTTGCCAAAGAAACGGGGTAAAATCCGGCTTACCCACGGGTGCTCCGGTCGACGAGGAAAATGTTATGACAACCCCTTGAGCTCCAAGCGAGGTCATTGTCGAGTTGAAAGTCACTTTGATTGTATTTCCGGTAAACGTGAATTCGAGTTGTGCTCCTAGGCTGTGACTGGTAGATTCGAATCGAACATTCAAAGGGGTCGGTCCTCCCGTGAAGGCTATGTACTCAGAGGCAGAGGGAGTTGCAAGACCGACTTTATCGCCTTGAGACAAGTCTAGCGCCACGACGTGCACGGTGATGTTGGCCGCGTTGGCAACTTGCACCGTCCACGTGCAGTGCTCGTCTTTGGAGTATTTGCCGGGAAACCCGGGCGAAGCTATGGCGCCCTCTTCTTCTGTGTAGACTTCAGTGCACGATCCAAGCCGACCTGTGCAAAAAGCAACATACACTGATGAGTTTCTGCAGCTGTTAGGCGAAGCGAACAAATTGAGAAGTTGCCGCTAAGATCTGTTTCCTGAGACACCATGGCGAACATGTACATGCCTTAAAGAACATACCCAAGTCAGTTTCAGATTGACATTTCATTTGACATTTTAAGTTCCTTGATTATTATTCCACCATCGGCTGAGAATATATTTCTAAGTCAGTGAGACTTACTGTCGTAAATCCCGACCGCCGTTCCCCCTCCGCAGATCTGAAGCCGGTCCCCTACGCAGGGCAAGAAGCAGTCCTCGTTGCCCAGTCTACGGGCCGCCAACGCCTCGATCCCCAGCGCCTCGCAGTAGCACTCCTGGCCGAACGCCAGGCCGGCGTGCGGGTAGCCCCGCTGTCGGCAGAGCGCCAGGCAAGACTGAATCGTCATGTTGGCGTGGGCGAAGACCGCCTCGTCCAGCAACGGGCTGCCTCTGGTGTGACGGTAGCAACCAAGGTAGCCGGGATCTGTGGAAGTTCCAATAATTGAAATCTGTTATTACTTCCTTCGCTAGATTTAAGAGTTATGTGTTTCGGTCTGACTCAGGATGAGATCAAGCTGACTTAAAGTAGGACTTTCGCCAATGCCATGTCTACATGACATCGGGAGCAACTGTGTCATTGGGGGAAAAAAAAACCTCTACAAACACTCCGACTTCCCCTAAGAAACCCCAGACTTTCCTGATGTCATATACATTGTAAAAAGGTTGGAAATAAAAAACAGTGTCTTAATGTCACTCCCTTTGACTTACAGTTGCAGATGACAATCGCGTGGTCCCAGCAAGTCGAGGCGTACTCGCACTGTACCGTCTCCTCGCCGTCTGCCGTGGTGAACTGACACGTTAACGATGGCAGGGGTGTCACCACTACCCCGATGCTCGCTGTTGACCGAACCGCCATGGCGCCCTCATCGAATCCTTTCGATCGACAATGAAACAGCTTGACTTCACGTTTACAAGTTTTGATCCCAGTAAAATCTGGTCTGTTTTCCTTACACATGTACATGTATTTTTTAGCAGTACATGCCGTAGTACACGTGCCGTGTTTCTATCTCCTGACAACAGTTAGGGAACTGTAATTATCTGCACTTAGTTTGTAAACGGCACAAAATTCAGCTCTAACGTCGTACTCCTTGTGCACTTCAATTGGGGGAAAGTTGTAGGTGCACTTTAAGGCAAGGAGGGTCTCGAATTATGGGGAAATGTTGTAACTGTTGTTGCTTAGAGAGAAAGGCAAGTCAAGGGGCGGTTCGCACAACAGATGAACCTCCGAGTCGCCTTCCAGATCTGGGGCTTAGGTTCGATTCCCGGCTCGGTTCACATGTGGATTGGGTTTTCAGTCCTTACCTGATTCCCTGGGTTTTACCCAGAATATTCCTCTGGGGTTTTCCTCCCACCTCTAAAATTGTAACTGCTTTTCACTGTCTCCTCTCTACAGGTTTCATCAGGCTTGCGAGCTACAGTGCCTAGGGCGCTTTCGGGGAATCCTTATAATACAAGTAGTGTAATTACCAGATATAATTATAAAAATATAGAAATACTAGTCATGACTTTACAGACTGAAGTGAATTTTAGGTTGTCTCTTAATGCCTTTTCGGTTAGGTAACTTTAACGAATTCGTTCCGAATACAACTAATAGACCTTAATGACGTTAATTTGTACAGAACTTATTCTCAGGTGCCAACAAATAAAAGTTAACCTCGCTTTCAATTCAATATGGCCACCTTGTGAACGAGGGCAGGTTCACTTATAGAGCATTCACCGACCTGAACCGAAAACCTTTTTTTAACGCACCTCGTTTGTGACATACGATGTCGGCCATTCGGGAGTTGAAGCCTTCGTAACAAACTCTTTCCCAGCCGTTCGACGTGCTAACCTCCACAGCGCCGCCGAAGAGAATCCCACCTTCTGAGTACAAACGAACGGCTGGAAAAGAAACCAACCCCGCAAGACACTTACTTAAAGAGGGACAAACATAGAATTACTGCTATGGAGACAAAACGTGAGAAATGCGGTCGGAAGTTCGATGTCGTCTATTGAGTCTGATCAGGAGGCAATTTCAAAATTGTGTGAAATTGTTGATTTTTTGTGGGGGGGGTTAGAGAATATATAACAGTCATTATAATCAGAAGGTGTCCTATAGTCAAGGTCTTCTGACAGCGTGGCACACAGGAAGTTTGTTTTATTAAACTACGGTTTGTTAGCATCACTAGTTGCTATATTCAGATGCATTTTTCACACAAAACGGGTATTAAGTACTAAAGTAAAGTATCTGCATTTTGCGGAGGCATTTCGTGGAAGATAAACGGCAAGGCCGAGCTTGTGAGTTTACTGGAAGGAATGCTTTGATTTTCAAAGCCTAATTTGTCTTGAAGGATGCATGTCAGACGGAATTTCTTCACAACTCAATGTATTTCACTAAGCGGATGTAAAGGGATCTCTGAAACGATGGCGGAAGTCGCGCATGCGTAGGAGTAGATTATGTGACCGCACATTTGTGACCTCCCATTGCGCTTGCGTTGTCATCACGAGTAGTCTCCATACACGCAACCCTCATTGTTTCGCATAAAGGTTATTGTGTCAGACTTCAGTCCAACAAATTGCAGGTGGAAAAAGTCACGTGTAAGGACGGTTGCGTTACTGACATTCCCAACATAGAGTATAGACGACTTACTCTTTAAACTGAACTTGATAAACTTATTAGGGTAACATCTCTCCACATACAAAATAAAAGCAGCGACCTATTGTGTGCGGAAGTCATTTTGAATTGAAGACTTAACCGGCCTTTATCTTCAGCGATATTCACGCCCATCAAATTGCATGTGTGCTGCTCCTCTTATTTCAAATCAATCACCTCAGACAGAAGGCGATTTCAAATCTACTTTGATTGCATTAAAAATCGAAAGTCACACATTTATGATCTGATGGTGAACACTTTACAAGGTTTACACACGTGTTTCTCGGGACAATTTGGAAAAAAATAGGAATTTGCACATTTGACTGATTGTAAACCAACGTATATGCCAAAAAAGGAAAATAAATCTCCCGTTGTGAAAGATGTTCTGAGAATTTATGATGGGAAGAGTGGACTCATCCAATTTCAGTCCCATGGATGATATTACATTAATAAATAAATTTCTTCATGATAGAAAATTGGTCAAGTCCAATCATCGTCGTATTTACATCACCCACAAAATATAGATAGCTTGCCCTATTTTCTTTGAGAAACGATACAAACGCAAACGATCCTCAAACCACAGAACATGTACTTCGTCGATCGGTTATCCGTGCTGAGGTTGAAGGGGGTCTTACCTGTCAACTCGATAGGGTCTTGTGACAATACTTCAAGAGATAACATCGAAAGGAAGAAACACAAAGGGTAAAGGATAACCATCCTGGCAGCGTGAATTGCAGCGACGGACACGGTATACTCCATCATCGCACTTGTACGACTCGTCACACTAACATTCGTGCATAATCCAACTTGATGACAAGCCCTTGGTACATACGAATCAACTTACTGTACTATCGATCCGCAAGACACAGAATCCTTTTTTTTTTTGGCACGTCATGAGTCAACATTTCTGTGGCACCGCGAATAGAAAGTGCTTGCACGGTTGGATGGGTTTGAGGCACACAGTGGGTAACGCACCGTAAAACCGGCTATTATTATTCAAAATATGCGGACTGAGTCACGGACTGGTCCGAAGTAAATAACTTGGAGGTCGTCACTTTTTTGTGTTGCGCTGCAAGACAAAGTGAACATCGTTATTAAACTGCATGGAGTTGGAGGCGTTGACCCGCCTATACAATGGCACAGAAAAATGTCGACGAGACAAAGACTTCAGGTATAACCGCGAAAGTACAAGCGATACGATTTGACTGAGAATTTTGACGGGTTTATGTCCTTGTTGTTCCTTTTGGCTGGAAACCCACTTATCGCGTTGCGGCGAGCTCTGTTCTGAGCTTTATAGTTTTATTTTTGTTTAGATCGAGCTACCTCCATGGATCGAGCAACAACTTCAGTCATGGTCCAACCGTAGTCTAACAATCTCTTCATCGCCTGTGCTTCCTGGAACTTCAAGAGTGTAGGTCGGTCGGTGGGCCTAAGATCTCCAGGGAAGTAGAGCATAGGGCTATAGGCTTCCTCGGCTTAAGGTCATTAGCATATGTATTTTACAATAAGGTAAAAAAAATCATCTCGCGGTTTTGGTAAGAGAAGAATCACGTGAGTGAACACAGACCGATTACCGTACTCAACAATTCACCAGTTACGTCTCGTTTTCCGTTTTCTTCATCCCGAAAAGGTCGATTAATGAGTGAATTTTAATTGACTTGGCACTATTTGCACAATGCTTCAAGGTCTTGAGATTATAAAACTGCCGTTTCTTTCAGGGTTGTCGTGCTTGCTGGGGGGGGGCTAGCTGAAGTGTTGTGATACAAGATGTGGGGGAGTATGTGAAAACCCCACGGTTGAATAATGAACAACATCCTTCCGCCAAAACTCACTGACGTATTCCCCAAATACTGAAGCCTGGCCCGTCAAACAGTAATACCAGGGAGGGTATGGCGGCAGGGGTAGGGTAGGGGTTGAGACAGTATCGTTGAAGATCATCACAAGCTTCAGTTCCCGTTAATTCATTGGACAGATAGCCACCGATCTATCCGTAATCAATTGTACGACTTAACGGGGACAAACGGGCGCAAAGCGTACAACTCAAAGCAAAGGCAGATCCGGGGGATGGCGCAATAGCGCTCCCAAAAAAAACCCAAACTTTTGTCCGAAAATAATTAAAGAATTTTTTTCTGTGTCATTTCTCTTCTTTCCAAAAGTGTGTACAAAATCCGAAATGTGGCCCGACACTCTCAGAAAGGCCATGAAAGGTTGTACATGAGAAATAGTCCACATTTTGTGGCGCCGAAACAGGTACCGCTCCCCCCAAATGGTTCTGGGTCCTCCCTTGATTCAAACCCCGTACCACACGAGATTAAGGGGTTTACCCACGCCATGTAGGTGCTTTTTCCGAGGTTGACATGACGCATTGACTTGACTTGGGTCCATGCCAAAGTACCCACCCTCTGACAGAAAACGTAGGCTGAAGACTAGTGTGCATTTACATATCAAAATAAGTGGTTTATATTCTACGTTTTAAATGCTTTTGGTTCATATGTGATTTCTCTATCACACAAAAAACTAAATAATTTCTACTTTCAGTGACATCTCCGTTATTTTATACATTTAATCGAGTGACATGAGGACTGAGTCACCCTCGTACTCGGAAAAAGTTGCCATGGAGACGACAAAACAGGAACCGAATCTCAGAAAGGAAGCGCGCATGACAAATTTGACTCTGTCAACAGCTGCACTTCAAGTTTTCACCGAAGCTCTCCCGTCCCCACTTTGTCAAAACAAGATGTGCCATCCTTCTTAGAAAAACAACCGTCAGCCTCAACCCCAGTTTTTCCATCTTCAAGTACTACTATGATCGAATAATTGTCCACCCCAAGTAGCTTCATGAGTTTTTGGCTGAAACTGCCCATGCATGTCCTCATTAATGACGCCATCGCAATGTATTTGAGGGTCTTGTTGCTAATTAGGATACATAATTACGCCCTGAATAGAGCACCGAAGTGTGACGTCACTGTGATCCAGAAAGTGCAGTGCAAACGAATGGAGTACGCGCGCGTGTTGGTTCACGCGCTGGTTCACGCGCTGGTTCACGCGCTCATGCCTTTTACACACTAATTGTGCGCGTGACGTATTCACTTCGGTACTCGATAGGATCTCTTCCTTTTACTACAATATTAAAGATCAAAAATTTTAAAATGAAATTACCACACGGGAATTTCTTCAGTGTTCTGTATTACAATAGAAAAGCACATGATTTCTGTATATTTTACAATTCTTGCAGCATTTAAAAACTGATTGGAATGAACAATACTCGGGCTTTAAAAAGTAATAAAATATATGTGAATTGCAATGATAAACTAACTTTTTGGTTTTTCATATCACATGGTGATGTGCAGCTAATTCCATTTACCTGAAATGGAAATTATAATATCTACCTATTTGGTTAAGCGTTTAAATCCTACAGGCTAAAACTTTACAGTAGAAAGTATAAAACTGTACTGTCTTTTTTCCTGTATATTCATTCGTAAGGTTAATTTGACACCGTGGTAGTACATGAATCACTTGATTTCAGCTGACGAAAGAAATCTCGTCGTGGGTCTGGTATATCCGACTTAAAACAGCTCGAGTGTTGCCAGGATCCCCAGCGTTGCCATGACAACGACAGGCCCACTCACAGCCAGGGTCGTGGCTGCGTTGAGCACAAAGTCCAGAATGACGACATCGTCAGGATTGACGCTATCAATCACGGTGACAGATTTCTTTTGGCTAATATAACCGGACTTCGACACCTGAAAAAGAGATGTACACTTAAGTTACTTGCCGGAAAATGCCTTCAGTTTACAAATAAATTAATATAAAAAGGTGCCCGTACATGAGGGCGCTTTTCACATTACATCAAAGGAGATGCGTCAATATCGCAAGGTATTCGGGCACAGCGGTTTTGATGTGTTTGCTTGTTTCTTGTTCTAACAACAACTTTTTTATGTTTTAATTTTTTACACCGAACTACAATTTTCGGAGAAGCTTTGAGCGTCCTTCCACGGTCGAGCTGAGAGAGGCGGGGAGTCTTTTTTTTCAGATGTGGTGTCGCTATTTTTCTTGAAAGGAAAATCTATTTTATGCATGCAAACGGCCAACTGTTGTGTGCATAAAAGGCTTTATTCCTGGATTTTTCACTGGCTCTCTTGTTCTCGCAAGATTTAAGAGACATGCAGTCCAACATATTCACATACAATTTGCCACGAATCATCACTGCCCTCAACCGCTTACAAAATACCTAACCAAATCGACGATATTTGCTCGTCCAAAGTTTGTGCCTTCCTCAAAAAACGTTTGCATAAGCGACTAAAACTGGCCACCAGCAAGGCCATGCGCATCAAATCTCTCTGATTCTCAGCCACACAATTACATGCACTTGCCTCTATCTCGTAGGTCCCGTTAAGTAGAAGTCTCCAGTACTCGCCAAGCTCAGTGGTAGACGGAGGATTCGGGGGACTTGCCTGCCCAACAATCGACACAGAGGCGCCCTCTAGTGGCTCCCCGTGTACTTGTCAGTGACAATGCCTTTCACCCCTGCAATGTAACAGCCAGATAAAATAACACGATGGAGAAAAGGAAAGAAGGAGAGAGAGAAAAAAAACGGCAAACAAACAAACAACCCAACAACCCAACAAACAAAACAAACAAACAACCCAACACCCCAACAAACAAATAAACACGCCGGCTCTAAAAAGTAAGAACGTGACAGGTAAATATTCCAGGTCCTATTAAGGGTTTAAGTCTGTGTCTATCGACATCAGGATCTTAAAAATCAGTTTCTGGCGAGAATTTCCTATGAGTTTCTTCTCAAATGTGCAACATTTTCTGCTCCAAGTAACACAACCAACAACTGCAAATTAAATATTTCCTCTACAAATTTCCGAGCACTTTTCACGCTGTCAAAGTCACAAGTCTTCATCTACAGAAATGTGTCAGTCTGACAGCCCCCGGAAAAGCCAGTTTATCTCCAAGCCCTCATCTCAATTCCACATCGAATCATCTCTCCCCAACCCACCTCTGTGAGCGTGCTGAAGGTAAGCCATCAAGGCCGGTCTGTTCTCCTCCCAATGCGTCGCTAACGTTGACGCGTGCGGGTATTTACAGCACGCGACTTCCAGAGTAATCTCGGGGCAGCCGGCGAAAATGTAGTTGTAATCTTGCATGCCACCTAGACGGACAAAATTGACAGAATTCCTTTTATTCCTACACGTTTATTGTTTGGAGTTACATTCAAGAATTTGGATTTGTAATGTGGCAAGCGAACTCGTGTACAGTATTCCTTGAAACTATTTATAGAATGCTTGGGTCGTCGGAAGGAAGAGGTATGTAGGTAAAATTTCTGCAAACAAAATGTCATTGAAGTATCTGCAAAGAGATCACGGTCTCGGACTCGATTTCAAGAACTCAAACAATGTTCTCTTCACTTTTCAAATATCTTCGTCAGTTATGTGTCCTGTATTCCATTGGAACCCAGTCGTGCGAGGTATTATCCAGTCAATATGCCGCACTGACGATTAAGTTTGATTCCTACTCTAACAACAGACATCTCGATACATGCCTTGAAAACGTCACTGCGAAAGCCAACACCCGAATGGACAAAATATAAAAGCTCAAAAACAGCTTTGAATTATCATAACTTAAACTGCTATTTTAAGCTAGCTGAAATTTAAATAAGCCACTTGCGAGTTAAATTTGAATAAAATCTGGTACACTATGTTACCTGATTGCATAGAAATGTAACAATTTGAACTCCCCAGACTAAAGACACTGTTGCTGTACTTCGTGATTCGGGGCAAGCTTTTGCATAGCGACCACCATCTCTGGATTGGACTGGTTCCTTTATGCCGTTCTTATCCATTGAGAATACAGTATTGTTGCAAGGCGTCTCTTATGTAACTAAGCAAAAACTTGCCCCGAATTACGAGGTCTAGCAACAGTGTTTTTAGGATGGAGAATTCAAGTTGTTATGTTCACGTGAATTTAAGAACTCAGTGTACCATATTTTATTCAAGTTTAACTCGCAAATGGCTTATTCCCACAACATCGACGACATCTACATGTAACAACAAAGTTTCGAAATAAATTGCATTAGGCGAATTCAAATATTTTTCGATTGGAAGGACTCAGGCTAGAGGACAAAAAATTCGCTCACCTTTGACGAGATACCATTCCCCTCCGTTGGTGATCCCATCCGGGAACCCGTCGTTGCTATCGTTACTGCGGCATCTGTTCTCCTCAACCTTGTGCATCCTCGGATGGTTCCTGGAGTAGGCCAGGGAGATCACTCGGAAGAAGGCGTCATCCGGACTCCTACTGTAGGCTGCATTGTCACCCGGTTTGTCCTCTGTTAATCAAAAGACGCCGTGATATAGAATCACTTTTTCGTTACAGAAGAGGAAAGTCATGGAAACTTACAATTTACAGAGTTGGTAAACGTGGAAATTATGCAGTTTCACATGTTGACAGTTGAAGATGGTGGCTTGCGAAAAACTATATTATGCTTTATTGGACGCTCTATCAGCAATAGGCTTGAAGTTCCAGTAAGTAGTTGAAGTAAAACTGGTCCATGTTTACAACGTATGACGGGAGTATTACATTTCAGATAAGGGAAGCCACACTCAACCTTGACACAGTAGTTGTGAATGGTAATTGCCGTGCTTGTAGCGCATACCAAAATAATTTTCAGTAGATACCGGTAAAAAGTGTAGATATGCTAGTTTTCTTCCATGAAGCGTTAATAAAACTGCGTTCAAATCAAAGACATAATGGAGTGCACTGGAAGTTGCATCGACCTTCTCGAATTACGCGAGCTGTTAGGATTTAAAAAAAAAATGCTCGCGCTGGCTGGATGTAACGCGAGCGACCAACCTGGCTTCATGTTGTCGAAGGGGTAGTTGGCCAGGAGGGCGCCCCCATGCAGGTTCGCGGAAAGAACGAACTGATAGTTCTGCACCCAATCGATGATCGCCTTGGTCTCCGGCTGTAAAACGAGGGCGTCGTCCGGCTCAAAATAGTCTGGGAAATTACGATTCAGATCGATTCCGTTGTCATTGTACCTGATCACAGGAAGAGAAAAATCAAAGGAAGCAATCGGAAATGTCAACTAAAACTGACAGCAATCTCAGTTGATGGGTAAGCATTTTGGCACAAGTTGCCTGAGAGGGCGATAAACTTGATTTATTTTGGAACTGAAACCAGACAAACATGTACGGTGCTGCAAGATCATCGTCTATTGTACATTGGATTGATTAGTCATCACTAATTCATTTTTCATCCTATTAATCACTCTTGATCATGCATCAAGGGATGGCGCTGGTCACCACATTTTAGCGATGATGTATTCGTGTCACACACTGAAGACGATAATCGCACCTGCCCTGGACGCCGGTGCAATCGCCTTCCACGGACACCTCAAATCCATCTGGGTTCATGGAGGGCAACACGTGAACTCTCGTGTGATCCAGGAGTTGCTTGACGTCAGAGTCGGTGTTGTAATTCACCAGGAGGTATTCGATCAACTGAAGCAAGAGCTCCCGGCCAACGACCTGTTTGGAAGAATTTCAAAACATCGGAAATGGACCGACGCCATATGGGCTTCAAAATTTAAACTTTTGTTAAGGCTACCGATTAACGCACGTACACTATTGCAATGTGACATTTGTACTGCTTCATTAGGGATCATATGCAATATGCAATTCAATCTATGTTGATTTACTAGGATTTACGGTCCCCGAATACCACATTTGTGATCTTGGAGTTTGCGTTTTCTCGTGATGTTCTCTTTAGCGATCAAAGTTCGGATTGTCTCACGAAAACGAGTCTTGCGAAATGCACCTACCAACTGACCGTGAACCAAAAATCATTCTGAAAGTACCTCGTTGCCATGCATATTGCCAACATATTTGACATCAGGCCGCATTGGGACGATCTGGTCCGGTTTGCTGCCGGAAATGGCGATTACCCATAGTTCTCGACCTGAAAAGATACCGGTAGCCAATAACATTCATTCTTGAGTGCATCACGCGCGTTTTAATACCTACAGTCACCCTCGACGATGTTTGTGTGGGTGGCGTGTAAGTTCTCGTGTCCGCGAGCAGCCCTTCGCTTTCCTGTAATCTCTGCTTAGAAATTTGGAGCGTGGTATAAGTCTGGAGGACCCAAAGATCTCTTTAGGCACTTCTTCAAGCCCCGCTCGAAACTTTCAACACCGGAATAAGGCATTTCAACACCGGAATAAGGCCTTCCAACACTGGGATAAGGCCTTTCAACACCGGAGTAAGGCCGTTCAACACCGGGATAAGGCCTTCAACACAGGGAAAAGGCATTTCAATATGCCCCGGATTACCGGAGTTTTGCGCCGTGTCTTTACAGCGTGCTTCGAAAGCCCTAGTCCCACACCATGTCGTGTACTGCATTACTTCATCAACTCACCTTGCGTCGATTTGCCGATGCTGTAGAGATGGGTCATGCTCGGATGGCTGTCCGCCAGCGACTTCATCAGCGACGTCAACTGGTCATAGTTGTGATATTCGTGTCCGATTTGCGGCAACGCAAAACTGAACGGGACGAGGACCAGCGTAAACAGAAGGCAGACGGAGGCCATATCGCACCGAGGAAGTACCGTTCGGGAGGGCATATTAACCGGCGAATGAACGGCGTAAGCTACCCGGATGGCCGGTCATGCGTAGCAGTGCCGGCCCCGTGACCGTCACAGCAAATACAAGCAAACTGTACATGCCACTTGATGTTTGTAAAATGACGTCTTGACAATAGCGCACTTCACAGCATGAGTGCAAAGGTTGACGGTGTGTACACCCAAAAATATCGAGACAAACTCCCGCGCAATATATGGCTTTCATGGAATACTTTGGTCATCATAGCGATACAATATTTGGTTTTGATCTTAACAGAACAAAGAGCATCATAAACCCGTCCAGGATAAGATTAGGGCGACTTCAACGGCCTAAACAAATCCAACCACGCATAAAGTCTGTAAAATTGATATTGAGCAGGCAACAAATGGGATTTTTACGTCATGAAACGTTATTAGCAATAGACCCTCTAAAACTCTTTATATTTCCACGTTTCCATTTTTTTCATTTCACAAAATCCAAGTTAATTTCATTTTCAGTCATTATTAAGAATAAAAAGTAGGGTTAATGGTGACGACGCCCTTTGCCAAGAAAAACTTAGTCACACGACTACGGTGTGACAAATGTCGGTCTTGGCCAAGGCCCTTACAAACTAGTGCCATGTCCAGCAACTTCTAACGTATCGCTGTCATATGCGCTGTTGGAATTATCCGACGACTTGATAGGCTTATAAACCTCTCGTTGTAAGTCATGCCCCTGTGTACCCAAGCTACCCTACGCTGATTTCGAGCAAACAGAAAGATGACCTGTTTGTTTCTGGTCACCTGTTGTCCGATTCAAGCTGATGGAGCATTCTCGTGTTGGTTTCTACTGGACACGTCCACTTCACCAAGGTGCGTGGGATGACGGCGCGTGAGCACACACGGTTGGGGAGTTGTTCACAAGGTGACCTCGTTTGGGATGCTATGCCATTTTTGTGTTCTCCGTAACCCGCCAAAATATTTTCCAAGGTGGGCAACTTTTGGAGGGAAAGTCTGCCTTCTCTTGGCCCCTACAACTGCGCGGGATGCAGCACTGTGCCATCTCAACCATGCGCACCCCACTACTGATGGCATATCATGTCTGGGACTTTTACAGACACGGGCAATTTCCGTTCGGCTTCAGACCACACTTTGAGGCCCGTTCGCGACAGAAGTCGGACTTGTCCGAAACAAGACGAAACACCCCCTGGCGCTTAGAGCTACGGCTGACAAAGGTTCCGTTCGCGACAGCAGCCCCAGAACTCCCCTTGGGAAGAGGCGTCGTCGTGAAGGGGAGGGAAAGGAATTTTCAGACGTTGCTGGGAGGTCCCCCCTGCTCCTGCTTAATCCTACCCCCCCCAGGGTGTATGTAAAAATCATAATATTGAAATGGGAGGATTGAGGACAATAAGGGTTAGGGAATAACAACGCAACAAGTCCCGCTTTAATTCTGCGCAATATGAAGCGCACTGTAAATCTACAAATGTTCAGGTTTATCGTTCAGGTTCATGTTTATTGCACTAAAACACTCGAAAAGTCTTCCACAAAATACTACAGCCATCGTTAAATTAATGGGCATATTGCTCTTCGATACCAGTTGAACAACTGATCGATCACTAGTCAAGCACAAATGTAAATACAATTGAACAAACAACAATTACTTTTTAGGAAAGGAAAACTAATTAGTCACTTCTCTCCGTAAGTTACAAATTGCTAAATTAAAACAAATAAAAGGAATAACCATTGCGGATAATGTGATTCCAATTGCACAAGATCTATATTAAGTACATTCGTGAGTGACTCTACCAAGACTGTGGTCGAGATCTTGACCATGACCTGGGAAAGAACAGCCGCAGGTAGACTAAAAGCTCTCTTGAGCGGATCGAATGAGGTCGTTCTGTTATAGCGCGAAATAATGAACTCAACGAAATCTGGACTCAATGGTTTGCATTATTTGCACTGCCCATGCCTTGGGGACAAGGTTAGATTAAGGACGGCTCACACTAAAGGACAGAATACAAAAAAAAACGCCACAGAGGACAGATTTCAAAGGGGTCAACTTTTTTTGTGACACCACACCCGAGTTGCTCAACTAAGATCTAACTTGCTCTTCGAATTCCATTTTTAAAAGGTGCTAAAAAGTCACCAGTCTGAGTCCAGACTCCATCAAGACTTCGATTTGAGAACAAAAAGTCTGGGATGGACCCTAGGCTTTAGTTAGGCCCGGTGTACAATAAGATTTGGACGTGGTGAAAAAAGGGGCTCACAGACCGTGAGGCACATGACTTCACAGGCTGGAAGTCCACAAGAAAAGGGACAGAGTTAATGAGAGTTGACATTTCATATGACACCATGTTATTTAGGCTTTCTTCAAGTCTTGCACTGAAGACAGCTCTGAGTCTCCGACTGCAACACTGCTCACGGACAGTAACTACTTAATAAAATGTAACTAACACTGGCAGAAAGTGACAAGTGCAAATCAACCGAAATAATTACTAAGTTAATTTCCGCATTTGGCCAAAAACTGAAACTTTTCTTTAGTGCATTCTTTTAAACTGTCGGCTTTCATTTTCGAAAATCTTGAGATTGTGAAAATATGGTTTTCATTTGTCAGGGAAGGGAAAGTGCAGTGCGGGGTCACGTTAAGTGCAACCAAAGTCTTCGACGGAGCCTGATTACACGATGACATACACGGATGTTAAAAACCTACTCTCCGGCAGAATGATGGTTACATAGCTACAATGCAACCTACAAAATAAATAGCAGTACAAAATGGTATCAAATGCGCTTCTTGGTACGACAAACTTCAAACCGTTACGGAATTGCACGGTACGTTTGGCAACTAACACAATAAATTAAGTACAAAATTTGGAATTACAAATTCAACTGATCGTTAAATAACTGAAAGATACAATGGTTGTTGGCAAGAAATTAAAGCTTAGGGCAAGTCATGAATGCCAAGCCTCTCACAATGCGCCCACAAAGTAGGAGTTCGTGTGCACATTTCATGCACATCACAATCACTTGAAGACCTTCTGAGTTTACTTTCAAAAAGCTTGACCCATATAAATGCTCAACAAATATATAAATGAATTCTATAATTACTCCTAAAGTTACCAGATGATGACATCTACAACAATGAAACCTGCTTTGATCTCTTTTGGCAAGTACGCATTTCAAAACAAGCTCATAATAACTTCTCTCTCCGGTAAAAACCGCTGGCAGTGACTTGGGTAATGAATCTTGCTCTTGTGGAGTTTGTTTTCATGTCGGAACGCAGTACTGATGTGAGTAATGCGTTTGAACCAATCATAAACCAATTTAGTTTCATCTGTAACCCTCCCGTTCTATTCTTTCACGCTCTCCCGTTCATTCGCTGGCTCCCAGCCGGCCTAAACTACTCCCTTTGCTGGAATGCCTTCCTTCTCTATCTTACTGTAAACTGTCGCACCAAAAGTCGGAGGTGAAAGCTCTGCAACGGCCCTCAATGGCTCTCCGGCAATATCACAAAAGCAGGAGGGTTAAACGCCAACAAAATGTCAAGATTTTAGACGCCGGGCTACTGTGCCACAGTAAGACTTTTCTCACCTTGACACGTAAGGTGCGCGATCAAATCAACACATATTCTCCGTTAACATTCTCCAATCCACTCAACGACTCACCGCTCTACCCTGTCAACCCGAATACATTTTTTTTTGTATAAATGAATAAAATTTACATTCAAAAGACAAGTAGTTGAGCTATGAGGAGTGACTGACAGCACAGTGTACGACCGCTTGTCTCCAAGAAAGGACTTTTCACTGGTCGATGTGCTACCTACATTACCCTGTAGTTCCCCATCTACCTTTAACTGGGCCTGTTTGTTTCACCACGGATACGGATCGCGATCAGTAATCTGTCACTGGTTCACTGACACCAGAACCTGCCTAATGGATAGCGCGAACCGGCTTGGGATCACTGATTGAGATCCAGATCCCTATGAAGCAAACAGGCCCTAAGTTCCAGGAGGTATGACGTCTCTGAATACTTTTTTCATAATTTGGTTTAAGGATTATGGACCTCACCGAATCAATGATCTGTTTGTGGCTCCGCTGTCTAGGTTCAGCAACTATTTTGCACTTTGTACGAAAATCCAAGTGCAAACTTTTCACATTTAAAAAAGCCACCCAAAAGAGACCACCTGCCTTGTAATCTATTCGGAGCCTTGGAAAACAGTCGGCGCTTACCTAACTTCTGAACTTACCGTTCCTTGGAGTTGGTCCCTGACTGATGTGCCGCAGCAGGGTCTAGGGTGCCAGGAGGCAAATGGACCCCAAGCCAAGGAGAAGCGACAGACTCCAAGCTGATTGGCCCCCGGCGGGCGCTGCGGTGTTGTAAGTACAGTTGGTGATCTCGTAGTTGGTCGGGACTGGGCAGCGGTTCAGACTGGCCAACGAGGCCGAGACGTCCTCGTGGGCGCAGGTGCCGTTGATGATGCGGAAGGCGCCGGTTGCAGATACTCTGCAGGGGATAAGACGCAAAAACCAAAGTAAATGAAGACACATGCTTGCTATGATTTGACGGAGAAAACACAGAAATACTTTTTGAGTTTGGAGACGGATGCCAAGACACAAGCCAAATGTGTAATCAGGGAAAACAATTAACCGTGAGGTTTTCTGAAAAAGGACCTTGATGATTCATCAGCAATAGTTCTGACGATTATTCTTTCTGCAACACTTGTAAATAACAACAAACAAGTAAATAACAGATATTAAGTTTGCTCACTGATGCTGTTCTCGCCTCAATTTGAGGCATATTTCTCCAATTAGCCAACTTTTCCCTGACTGGTTTCCATGATTCACAGGCGCCCAGCAGATGCCTGTTAACAGGCAACAATACCAACCTGTTGGTGATGCGACAGTTGAAGTTAAAGAACAGACTCTCTCTGTAATTCCTCCAGTTCTCGACCACGAGGAGGAAAAGGTTGGTCTTGGGGAGAGCCGTCACGTAGTAGAAACCGGACTTGCAGGCACCGGAAATGTTCCCGATGATCATGCCGCTTGGCTCTGGCAAAAGAAGGAAATGAATTGAGGATCAATTTTTCAGAATGAAGTCTTGCTTTTCACACTCCGCAGTGTGAAACGTTGCCACTGTACTCACCGAGGACCGAGCTGTTGGCCTGGTAACCCACCACATCCTGGATACAGCCAAACTTGTTGGAGAAGCTGGGAATGGGTCCCCTGTTCTTGTAGTAATCGTCAAGCTCTCCAGGGGTCTTGGCGATGCCGTTGAGATTCACCTGGAGGAGAAGTTTGGATCCGACTGATTCAAACTTTGACAAGTCTATCTCTGACTTTTCTTGAGTTGGTGAACTAAGAGGACCTCATAATGTGTGACCGGATCCCACAGTATGAGTCTTAAGGCCATTTATTCAAGAACTTCAGTATGCAGCGGAAAGAGCCAATTGGGTTCCCTCTTTTGATGTACCACTCAGTCTAACATCATGACGACACTATTAAGGCATTAAACGGTGAAAATGTTTAGGGGTTCCCACTGATTTCAGGGGTCCAAGATTCTTTTCAAGACATCAAGCGTGACGATGGGCAACCTAAGACCCATTTGCATCGTTGGGGTTGAGCGAGCATACTACTGTCAACGTCTAGGACGACGACATTTGATGTCCAGATGGACGGATGCGTCCTGTGAGAGAGAGGTACCATCTTACCCTCGGAGACGAGGAAGAGAGACTGCAGGATCCCTGGAAGTCGATTGTCTCTGTTCGCACAAAGAAGCGGTGTTTGTAGATCAGCTCCCGCATGATCTCTCCCTCCTTCTTGCCCAGGGAGACCCGGTTGTACTTGGCCGTGTCCAGGTCGCTGATGTGGATGAACTCGGGGTCTATCACGATGTTGGCGGAGTTGTCGAAGAGGTAGCACCTGCAACAAGAGAGGTGGACGGCCGGGTATAACTGACGGCCAAGCTTACGTCAGAGGAATCCCGTTGATCAAGCACATTTTTAACATCCTTGTCAATGGATTCCGATCTTCATTTCCAACCCTGGGTGGGAGCTGTTTCGTTTGGGGGTCATGTCGTCACCGTCGCCACAAAGTGACGCTAATATGGCTTTTGAGGAAAAACAGGTTTTCGAGACAATCGCCAGAGAAGTCTTTCCTTAATAAAAACTTACCAAAATAAGTATTTTGTGACAACTTTGTGCAACAAAAATCCCTTAAATGATTCTTTGATGTCTGATCGTTCACTTAACCCGAGTAACTGGTAGGAAAACAGGGGTTAATTAGCAAAGGTTAACGTCATTTCGTGAAAATGAAAATTATGTTTTTATACATGGACGTCCTTCTGATTGATGTATCATGATCACAGGGAAGGCGATCGTGTCCTTACGCCCGCACAACTGTGAATGTAACAAAGCTGACGTCACTTCGTGAAAACGAAAATCCCAGATGACCTACTTTTCAGCCGTTTCTTTGCAATAAGTTTTATCCATGTTCAAAGGACGTTAAGCAGTGCGTCTGTTAGTGAAAATGCAAAATGCTGTTTCCAAGATGTTTGACTTCGGCAGCATGAATGTAACTATGACATTAATGATGTTTTGTTTCTGGGAGCACGTCAAAATGGTAAAGCATGATATTGTAAAAGACAAAGAGAATATTGAAAACAATTGGAAATCGACAAAAATTCATTTTGGGACATTAAGCTTCACTCCATGAGAACGTTGATGATGTGTGCGGATCCAACGTTTAAAATGTGACAGCACGGATAGTGGATAAAATAAAACTGACTTATAAGGTGGCACGTATCCTTGTCAAAGAACAAAGCGTTGAGTTTCCATCTACAGATCTGTCCACATGGGGCAATTGGATGTAGGTTCCTGAGACACGTTGTGCGCTCCGTGGAGCTAGTTGCAACAGGATAAATTCATGACAGGAAACCTCGTTTGGTTCTGTCAACACGGCCGCGGGTTGCTTGAGTTAAGTGTCTGGCAGCCGATCTAGTCTGCCGAACGGCGGAAAACAGAAAGCAAAACGGTGAGGTGTGGAAACCTCAATAGGGTCAGGGTCTCGTGGACAAGAGGGGACTGGAGTGGACAACGTGACGTGTTGTACCTCGTCATGCAATCTGGTAACCCGTCGGGGCATGGGTAGGTGTCCAGGCAGGACAGCGGCATGTCGACGTCCTGCATGATCTCAAACACGTTGTTGTGGAAGTCGTTGTACAGGATGTCCAGCGACGTGACGGCCTCTACCTTCACCGACGCACAGCGCGTCGTGTCCGACAAGTTTCCAGCCTTGCTCCTATAGCATCGGGCTGGCAACAAAAACACGACGTCTCAATTCAGATCACACCTGACGTAAGTGATCAAAAGAACTATACCTTACACTGCTTCTTAGAAGCATGGCTACAAGAAACATGCTGGGAAATGTTCGGTGTGGCAGTTGTTCGGGATAACTACTTTTTGCTGGCAAAGCCTAGAGCTGTCTCCTCTTTCAAACACATTTCACGCAAAATTACCATGTCGCCTGTGTTGCGATGGCTAGCGCAGTTTGCTTGAATCGGTTCCCATGTGAAATCGCATGTGATATTTACCTGTCTTTCACTAGTTCCCACGGCTTAAAACATAACATTGAGAATGGCCGGGAGCCAGTCTGTAGCTCACTCCCAAACATTGCGCATGTCTTTATGCAACACCATAAGGAAAAAGTCAGACAAAGTTTAGAAATGACCAGCCTGCTCAACATCACTGATGACGACTCTTCTAAATATAGTCCCAAAAACCAATATTTTGTTGTGAATGTTTATTTTCTGCTTAAATGCATTTATTTTAAGATCCAAATGCACAGTCTTTGTGGCTTTGTAAGTTTTTCCAAGAGAAACGGACAGTTTGGAAGGTATCTGAATTGTTGCCAAGAAATAAAGTTCCCTTCCTCACCGGAAATGCAGTCAGCGTCGGTGCTGCATTTGCAGCCGCCTGGCTTCTTGCCGTCCAGCTGGTTGCAATGTGCCTCGTCCACCGACGGCATCCCCTCGAAGACGGCTTGCGAGACGCTGATGATCTTGCCCACGCCAGCTGAGTCCATGTAGGCAGTGGAGATGGATGTCTTGTCCGAGTTGGTGATCACGCGGTGGTACCACGGCCGCCTGATAATGAAGACAACCAACGTGTCAATTTTTTTTTGGGGGGGGGGACTCTGGGATTTCGAGATGATAAAAATTACCTAAACTTTTCCATGGCCAAATTATTGAGAACTTACTGAATTAAAGGTCTCTTTAGAAGTGTGGATTAAACAAAGCCAAGTGACAGTTTTGACTCGGTGTTCTTATCTGCCTTGAGTTGAAGCGCACCCTCACTGGTGAAAGAAAGACTGACTAGTGCCATGTTTTCCAACCGGTTTCTTGCAAGCTTTCGCCATGCATGCCAAGACCATACATTCAAGAACAATTTCGTTGCACGCACTCGGCGTGCCCCGAGTCAACAAACACGCATTAATTTGAGCGCCTATGGGGGTGACTTCCTACCAAAGGACTGTCAATTTCATTTAAAAACCTACCCTCTTTAGTTCCCACTCTGAGCTTTAGGATGACAACATTCCACCGTATTTCCACGGCCAAATTATGCAAACCAACGACTTTCTCCATCAAAATGACGAACACAAGAATATCAAAGTCTCCTGAGAACTGAAAAATCAACAACCACACCATCTAACAGTTTAGTTGGTCTTACTTGGTGGGGTCGTAGTATCTCTTGGACCGATGACCCGGGTAAGTCCGGAAGACCCCGCTGCGACATCCGATGTAGGTCCACTTCACGTCCTTCAGCATCTTCTTGTTGCGACTTCGCCAGATCTTCTCAATTTGGGACGTGATGAGAACGTCCGCTCTGCACAGCAAAAGATCCAATTCCACGAGGTCACACTCCAATTTCAAAATGTCTTTGGCAAGTTTCGGCGCCTGTAGGGTGCACGTTTGCACTGGGTTCTCTTCAGGCCATCATCTCATAAATGAATACCTTGGTCTTAAAAGCCTGGTTTTTATACCATTGTGACCACCTGTAGTTGGGAACTTATTTCACTGCAGAAAACTGTTTCCGACTCCCAAATCTGCACTGGCTCTTTCAAAAGTGACCAAAGAGTCACTGTTCAGTGACTGTTCAGCTCAAAGTTAGCTCGATCCCAGCTCTGATTTTCAACAAGCTGCTTCTCTTCAAAACTGGTTGCAATCCCTCTGCATCATCTATTGAACGATGGACGGAGCACACTCTCTAAAAACGTCGAGTCCAGAGACCACCGGATCTCTTCGAAACTTATCTAGAGATCTACGGTGTGCTACCGTACATCTTCGTCTCGTCACCAGCACCGGCCTTCTTTCTGCCCAGCAAACCCCCTTTTGTCCAATCTCACCTGATGCCTCGGTGGAACTTGTTCTTCTTGTCCTCCTTGGGGCAGCCCAGGTCCGGCTCGTAGCTGTTGATGAACTTGTGGGCGGCCACCGTCTTGGCTGCCAGGTCGTCGTCCACCAGGTAGAGGTTGGGGTCGCAGTAGCAGCGGGGGGCCAGGAAGAAGCTGGAGTAGAGGTAGGAGACGCGCAGGTCGGGGTACTTGGGCTCGTTATAGAACACCTGCATCTTTTCAAATTCACCTGCGTTAAAAGCAAATAATAAACAAATAAAAACAACAACAGCAAAACCAAAACGAACTCCCGGTCAGAAATTTCCAAAGACTGAAAACAAGACATTTATTTATTCTGCTGGTATGGGAACATCCAGTAATGTAACTAGGATGAAATTTTTTTGAGGGATAGGCGTTGTTCCCAATGTATTCCAAGTAGGAACAGTGAATGAATGGAACAACTGATCTTCTTGAAACCTTCTATGGTGCTTCTTCAGGGAGTCAGCGTTCACCTCAGGGTTATCACTACAATCGCTGAAGGTGCGTCTTTCCAGGAGATGGTCATTTTTAAACAATGGAAAGGATGAGAAAAGAAAATTTTGCAAACTGATGGGATTCAATGATGGCCAGGTCCCTGAGGGGTGGTGGGAAAATTGTGGAAAAAAACAGATGCCCAAGTAAACTGTCGAAACATTATTAACCCTAACTCCCTAGGGTGTGTGCAAAATCATATCAAAATTGGAGGATTCAGGACTGTTGGGGTTAACGAGCCCCATGACCCATGCTGTGCTGGCTTCCGGGACGAGAATAAAGCAAGAAAGGACAAGGGAAACTACCTGGGAGCTCTGCTCTGCCAAGGGTGCTGTTGTATTCTTTCAGGAGGTTGAAGTAGCTGGTCGGTTGGAGGTGCGATCGGTCTTTGGGCTCCTGGGCTCGCCGGAAAATCTGGAGAACGAGTCGAGATGGGTGTTTTTTGTGGACTTGTGCCTCTTACTGATATTTCCAAAGATGGATTGTTTGACATGACGTATTCAGAGAAGCACCGGTTCTCAATTGGGATCATGCATTGTCCCATTTAGGAATGGCCAATATGGGGAGTTAATATTGTTTCCCTCAACCAAGTACGATCCAACAGGGCATTAAATGTGTGTGCGGAAGCATATCGCTATCAATACGTAACATTTGGAAGAACTTCTTAAAATTTTGAATTCACCTCCAAATTGGAGTGGCTGGCATTTTTCGACACTTCTGAGCTGAAGTCAAGTCATTTAGACGTGGCCAAATGGGAAAACTCCAGAGTATCTCTTAATGTGAGAGTCGAGTATAAAGTTACCCGGAGACATCACTTACTTCGTCGGTTTTGGCCAGGCTGAAGGCTAGCGAGTAGTCAGTTTTGTCCAGGTGGGTGTAATGGTATGTTGCCTGCATGACTTGGCGCTTGACACCGTCAGAAAAACTACCCTAAAAACAGACAGAAAAACATTGCTGCAAAATTACCATCAAGGCCAAAAGGACAACTCGCTTTTTTTTTTTGGTGAAAATATTTACAGAACCAACAAAATTGGCTTGGGAGTTTTGTTACTTGAGAAAAAACTTCAAGATGAAACAGAGTACGAACCATAACCTTTATACTTGAAAAATCCATCACTTTTTTAGAGGAATATCAATGTTGTAGCTGAGACAATCACGAGACCAGTCACGAGCAAGGGGTTGAACAAGGAGGAAAACACACTTTTGTTACAATTCATATGAACAGCGTATAACTTGAATTCAGACAGTAGGTCTGCTACCGGTCTGAGCGTGAAGTTGCTACAATGAATTTCGCCAGTGGGTTCATGCAGAGTGGAAGACGTCCGTGGCAGCCTTGTGGGACGGCTGCAAGCCTTTCCCTAACGACACAGCGTGACAACTCTTGGGTATGGACATACCTTGGGAACCCCTCGCTGGGCATTCATGATCTCGATGTCCCCCGTCTCTCCCTTCAGCATGGCATCGATGACGGCGCTGAACTCTTCCGGTTGGCCGTTGGGTTGCTCTAGCTGCCTGATGGGGACCAGAATAGGATCCTCCAGGAGCTGTGCATGGGAACGAGAGGTGAAGAATCAAAACTATTTGGGACGACTGCTTGGTGTTTCATCATTACGCAGGCCGCGTTGGAATTGCTTGGCAGCGGCTGCAAATAATGTGTGTTCTTATGGCAGCCAATTCTTAGCGGCTTTGTCCAAGTCCCATAGGATGTGTGTTATTGCAAGTCACAGCCAAGTAAATTGGGATATGGTCCAATGCTGCTTGATCTGCCCTCTGATCCCACATGTTCTTTTTTGCAGCTTCTGAAAAGCGTGATGACCGAGGGGGATGCAAACTTTACTTACATCACTACTAGGCTTCAGGAGAGGGTGGAAGATCGTTCCTCCGTAGTTATCGATCAGGAACGCGTAGACGGATCCCCACTGCTCGTTGACGATGAGATTCTCAATTTCTTCCAAGGGGCAGTCCACACCGACCACGCCGAGAAGCCTGCCAACAAACAAATGTAACAAAGAGAGAGCCGTGCTAGTGCTAGCACAAGACACAGAAGTTACAGTAGTGATGGCCTCTAACCTGGCATGGCTCGTAACTGACTCCAGCCTTTCTACTGCATTCAAAAGAAGCAATTTGCTTTTGTATAAAGACTTTTAATTTTTTTTCAGGAATCTAGAGATGAATGTTGCACCAGAGACACAAAATGAAAAACTCACATTCTGAGTTTGTCGTGGGCCTACCCTGAATCTGTTGAAATCTGAGACAGTAATCCCCTGTCTGTCAAGCTCGACTACTGACGGTGCCTCTCACAAAGGGGCTCTTCAGTCCCGAATAAATCAACTTCGAGCTTAACAAAATGTCTGGGTTTTGGCAGACAGAGGAATGTCAGCGTTATGCAAATGCAAACAAATGCAAAAGAAAATTGTATGGAAAATGTGACAGATGACTCAGAAGACCAGGATGAGAAATATCGGTTATAACAGGAAGATTGTGAATGCAGCAATGACCAGCTCACTTCTCGGTGCGATCACTGATGACAGGTATCGCGTGCGTGACCATCTGCTTCAAGCCGAAGGCGTCGATGTACGGCGCCGTCCACTTCCCCTCGAAATCTTTGGTCTTCTGGGAGTTGGAGGAGAGGAAGTTGAAGTAGTCCCGCATCTTGCCGATCAGGTTCTCCCCGTCCGTCAGCTTCTTGAAGTAGCCCCGGTTCTTGCAGGCCAGGCGGCCCGGGAAGATCTCGCCGTCGTCGACCGTGCCGTAGCTGAAGATGCGAGCCTGCTCAGAAGGGGACAAACTGAATACGTCATGCATAGTAATCCACACAATCCACAACACTGATTGGTGGATCTACACACTCTGTGGATAGTGCTGGGCCACTGGTTGATCCTGAATGAAATCTCACATTTGACCTTCCTTTTCAAAGACTTTATGCCAATATAACTTACAATGGCATGATCGTTGGAGGGACTGACATTTCGATCTAAGCCACGTCATTCTGAAAGGGCAAACCAGTGAAATTAAGCCCCACTGAAGAACTGAATAAAATCTTTCATCGGCTAGTTCTACTCGGAATGGTGTAAATAATTTCAATTTTGGGTGAAATCTGATAAGTTTACTCTCTGCCACATTCAACTTTACAGTTGACATATCTGAATAAGTAATCCATCTGATGCTGAAACCTGCCCCCTGCATATTTTCACGAGTACATACCTGCGGTTTGGCGGCAGCATTCAACTCGTCCACCCGGTCCCACACTTTGTGCCAATCGTACTTGCAGATGGGTCCTGGCACGTACCCGCTTCGTGTGTAATAACCTAGGGCGGTGATGCAAATGTGTCATTCACAGAATCGTACAGAAAATCCCTGCAACACGATTACGACTTAAAAAGGTCGCATGCAAGGGCCCTTTGCTGCAAGACCATTTCATGGACTTATTTGGTCGGGCTCTACAGGGAGTGGCATGGCACCATAAACGTTGAGAGTTCCAGAAGTATCGGATTATTAGTCACAACGAGGAAGCGACGGTCACGTATTTTGTAGAATTGAACCGACGAAGTGTTTTATCATGTGCACAGGGCCTACGCATGACAAATAACTCCATGGTGCATGAGAACTATCCTATTCGTTCTTTGCATTGCGACTAACAAAATGGGGTCATCATAAATAAATAAGGCGAAAGAACCAACTGGCTGCGGCTAGGAATTACATGCACGTCTATGGGAAGCCGCTGTGGCCGCTGGAGCCAGCGGCTTACATAGGGGCAAGTGTAACTTTGAGCCGCAGCCATAAATTTTGGACATCGGTCAATCTTTGTACCTGGTCCACAGCGGACCGTCTCTCCGTCGGTGTCTTTGCCGTCCGTCACCAAGATGATCAGGGCTTGGCAACCGGTGCGAGATTTGCCAGAGAGCAGCTCAAAGGCCTTTTCAAATCCTCGTCTGTAAATTCGAGAAAGTAAACAGTATATTGAAATTGGGTTCATTTTCGTCTCGTTTGGATGCAAACTTGGGCTATTTTGACGGCATCTCAATTTGAAGTTTAGCTTTTGTAACAGGTGTTTACAAAGAAAAAACAAAAACCCCTTGATGTAAGGGAAAAGGGACCACACTGCTTGCTCACTTCAGTTCGCTAGTTCCTTGTGGCTTTAGCTCCCCTGTCTTCTCCTTCAAGTCTTTCCTATGGGCGGTGGTTGCGGGTACCAGACGGTCATCTTTGCAACTCAGGACGGTCGTGTTGAAGGGATACCAGCTGCAATGTGCGTAGTCAAATACAATAGAGCGTGAACAAACTACAGAGATGAGTCTTCCCACTAACTCTAGCTTGGATTCTGGCAGCTCAGTTAGTTACATTTCTAATCTGACCACTCGTGAACTTTCATTTGTAATCTTAATCACTGGAGTAAGTACTCGTTCTCTGATGTCATCTTGCCAGCTTCGGTTACAGGCCTCACCATGTAAGACTTCTAACGTATGCGGAGAGAGAGAGAGCATTGATGGTGGCTGGTCCTCAGCTTTTGGACCAGTCACCCGATCACGAGATGTTAGAAAACACAATGTGGTGTTTCAAAATCAAGAGGAACTCTTTTCATTTAAGAATCGATTTCGGGGGATGGAAAATGTTGTCCACTGTTACGTGTTCCTGAAACCAGAGTGTGATGAATACCGGCCAGATGGACAACCTTGGCTTGTGACTTTACTCTTTTCAAACTGTTACACAATTTTTTTACTTCAGTGAGTTCCATCTCTTTTTACATTATCTGTTTACATGTTTGAATGTTTAAGTGAAAAAAGTTCCAAACCCGTTTACAGATTTTCCAAAATGTTTCAACAGAACTACCCCTGTAGAGGTCTGACGTTTTGATTAATGCAATCTTGAGTTCATTTTTATTGTCAACGACGCATGTACAAATGTAATCTGATTTTCGGAACGCTTTACAGCTCGGTCATATCAAAGGAATACCATGAATTCATCACCGGAACTTTGTGTCAACTATTCACACCGCATACAATTTGTTGTGTTTAACGTTTTCAATGACACCGTGGTTAGGGTGGGACGTTCAAACGGTAAGGGAACATTTTCTGAACATTTTCAAATTTCTTTGTCAGATACTTTCCCCAGTTTTCCCTAAGAAACTGGCTCAGTGGTCCAGTCCATTGGGCCCGACCTAAGTAAGACATGTCATATGAGTGTCAAATCGAATGCAGTCACGCTTGCGCGAGGAAGTGGGGAAGGGGGGGGGAGGAGTAATCGAATGCACTGTGTGTGAGTGATGCACTTACTCGCCAACCTCGTCCCAGTGACTCGCCCGAGCACAGATCACATTGACATAGTCCTGCTTGGTAAGCGTGTCCAAGATGATGCGTACGACGGACACAGCGATTTCAAACTTCTTGCCCTGCATGGAGGTACTACCGATGACAAACAAAATGACAAACAAAATGACAAACAAAATGACAAACAAAACAACAATGAAACAAACAAAAGCTACAATTGCACAATCAAAACTTGCCACAATCAATTCAGACCGGATCCCAGAAAACAAAGTCACAAGGTAATTTACTTTTAGTACTCTGACATTCAGCAAGTCTTTTTTCAAGGTCAACTCGCTCGAGAGCAGCTCTGACAATACATGATTCGTGTTACTAGTGAGCATTTAATTTCAACTTCAGAATTCATTCTTTAAGTCTGACTTCATCTCTGAACTTGAACCCATGCTCGACATCACCCTATCAGAATAACACAGTGCTAGGCTGAATAGTTCCGAATCCATGAAAACCAAACCCTACAACACCGGTTAGATCTAACTACGAGTTGCGAAGAAACAACTCACGAATATCTCCATGGTTACCTGCAGTCTATCATGATGACGACGTCCTTTGGATCACTGGTTCCCGTGATGTACCACGGGCGGACACGGGGATCGTAGTCATTGTAGAACCCCGCAAAATTCCGATGCCACTCCCGACCGGGGAACTTGCGCAAGATGCCTTCCACCGACCCAAAATATTGCCATCTGTGAGAGATAAAACGCACCGACCTTCGCGTAAAACTTCACGATACACAAATAAACCAGCAGGAATGCCTTTCAATTTCTTGTCCGGAGCTGGAAAGTAAGGTGAGACAAGCCTAAACATACCCTCTTAAGGTCTGAAATAAGACCAACATTTTAAACGAAAAAGCCTATAGTCAGGCTTTTTCCTGAAAACTGGCATCCCTGAAACAGGAAACAAAGTGTTTCAATCTGCAAAACAAACAGAGACTTTTCGGAAACCGAAAAATTTCTTGAACCCTCAGCTTTCTTTGCTGGAACATTTTTGAATCCTTCAAAATTCCCCAAGGTGCATGAAGCAAATGCCACACTCTTTACACTTCAGTTTTCAAGGGGAAATTGCGGCCCACGAAAAGCAATAGTCGCCGAGCTCTACGTTCCCGCAACTTGCAAAATCCACGGAGTGGGCTAGAGTTACAACTTTACAGAGACACTAAAAAAAATTACAGCTTGATTTCTGTTTGGTTTTTCATTTCTTGAGGGGGGAAGATGAATTCTGGTACATCACCTGAGCGAGGAATCGTTGTTGAAGTTACTGATGAAGACATCATCCAGGTCCTTGGTGTAGTAGACGGCATTCACCGTGCCCTGGCTCTTACGTGGCACCTCGTCAGAGATCTTGACCGTGCTAGACTCGGTACTGACGGCTTGCCGAAAGTAGCTAAATACCCAAACAGCGACAAATATCTGACAAGTTCAAAATACTTGTATTCAAGTTTTCACAAATCAGATATTATTAGACCCAGGATATTCTGAATGTGAAGAGTTCTGTAGAAATTAAAATGAGATCGTGCAGCGAGAAAAAAATGGAAAAGCTAGTCTAACTCTTCCTCAGTACTGCACAAGTCTGTCAAAGAAAATTTCCGCTATGGTAACAACAGAATTCTCAATGGTCCATCCTTTAAAAAGTGGAGATGTGCCAGTCTGGTGTTGCGCTTCATACTGGGCTTGGACTCTCTGATGCATAAACATACGGAGACAATTTTACTAGCAATCTGAACCGAGTTCCCACGCTTGCCGGTGGAATACCAAGAGCCTTGCCTTTATTAAAGTTTGGAGCAATGTGAGGAATTTTGCCGGCTGAAGGATAGGCGGACTTCAGGCTTGGTTTTTTTCCGCATATGAAGCAAGATGTGGGACGGAGAGCACCTCCCCCCCATATTTGTGTTGGTCACTGTTTGATCGGAATCTCAGGAATTCTTCACAGACTTCTAGGGGGGATGTGTTAGGTAACAATAGTCTAGAGTGTGTATAGGGATTGGATAGGTAAGGGGATACCCCTCCGTCCCATATCTTGCTGGGTTTATTTGTCCAACCTGTTCAAGCATGTCTCAATCTGTTTTCATGCTCAGACTCAAAGCTCTACCTCGAGTTGTAAACATATATTCTTTTGAGACTGTGGCTTTTTCGAGGAATGGCCGAACTCACGCATTGTACTCCAATCTGGGCAAGCGGCCTGGTATGTCCGAGTCCCTGTAGACTTCCTTCGGCATCTGTGGGAGTGACCTGTAGACAATCTTCCCCAAGTTGTCGTCGTGAAGCCGCTTGACAGCATTGGCAATGCGCTGGACGGAAAGAAACAATTGATAATCGTTACCCACTTCTTTCTTTTTTTAGTTACTGACCAGCTTGCTTGCACGTGGGGAGCAGACGGGGGATGCCGACTGGGTCGAGAGATGTACCAGGTTGGAGTCGGCTGACTGCGCAAGACCTGGCAGGAAACCGTTTCTGCCAACATGCGACTGCTGGGTGGGAATGCAGAAGACGCGAGGGACCGACCGAGGTGGAGGGCCATGGCAGGAGGCGCCACGGCCAACCCGGCGCAAACTGGACGACGGCCTCAAAAGTGATGATGATTACTGACCAGCAGGATGGTGAATTTTGTCTCTAAGCGAAGTTGCAAACCACTTACAAGTTGGCTTTATTGAATAGAAAGTGAGGTCACTTTTCTAAATTGGACACCCGAAAAAACGAAAAAGGAAAGCAATAAAATAAATGGTCATTACCAAAGGAAGTCAATTGACGCTGATGAGTAATTTCAGATGTGTGGAGAATTAAAGAAAATGTTTTTACCCAAATCTGAAGAGAATAAAAGCAAAGTATGGAGTTCAAAATATGGCACTGACAAGGATGTGGCCCTGCATAAGGTTCATACTCAGAGCTCATTGGCCGACTGGGCACTAGGCCTGACCTTGGCAACGTCCTCCTTGCGGGCAAAGTAGCTGTCTAGCAGTTTCTTGACGTGAGCCACGATGTTGCTGGCGTTCTTCTTCTGTAGGATGTAGTCGGCGTTGTCATAGTAACTCTGGGTGTACTCCGTCTTCAGACCGTCACTGGCCAACTGCCAAAACAGCGAGGGGATGGGAGAGGCCGAAACTGGGTGAGTAATCTTGAAATGCAAGAAACTTGCCTTGTGGAAACTGTTAAGGGGCCCAATGACTGACAGAAAAGGCAAACGGGTGTGCCAAATTGGAATATCTTTGCACATCACAGCCTAACATTCGGCTACCGTAATGTGTCACTTAGGCCCAGAAGGAGCCGTCGACCTTTTTCCCTTCAGTTTTTCATTTTATTTTGAAACTTACATCTATTTATTTTGACTTGGTAATGTTTCCAAAACACTATGTGGAGAAAAAAGTTAAAACCTGTTCATTGATGGGGTTAAAACCACTAATCAGATACAAAATATCAAGAAATTAATCAAGAAAATCTGCAATCTTGGAAACCATGCATGCTTTCTGCCCAAATTGAGAAAAATCCTGAGAAACCGATTTGATTTTACTCAGCCTTACCTGTAAGATGTAATTTTGAATGAGGGTGGCCCAATTTTGTACATGTCCAACCAAGCGCCCACCTCCATCCTCGACAGCATAGCTATAACCGGGCCCCTCGTCATGACTGATTTCATTGTAATTCAGAGCCTCCGTGTACGGCAGCATCATCATCACCACGGCAACCATGCAATGGCACAGGAAGACAGCAGTTCCCATGGCAACCATCTTATTTTTTTCGGTTACTTTAGAGTTATTTTTAACGAGTACTGTAAAACTGAGACTTTGGATAAATTTTACTCAGTACTGGAAATGGAATGACTAGTTTGCAAGCATCATTTCTAGATTTTTTTTTTCAAATACATTTCTCTAAACGTAATTTCAAATCGTCCAATTGTCCCATGCTCAAATGCTGACCGAAATGATTTGCACATTATCCAAAAGCAATCAGACAATATGTCTCATCAATGATACGTTTTTGGTCACCGGGGAGGGTTTGGTATTATAATGTCCTTGACGATGATCACTTGATGCTGTGAGCGCAGACATCGACACAACTATGAGTATGATCACAATGGATGAAATAGTGTGTATGATGTCAGTGTTGCTCCATGTTGCTGGCACCCGGGGCACAGAACTCTTACTGTGTGCATTCCCTGTATAAGAGGTAAAAAAATCAACAAATGTTAATCTAGAATTAATATTCAGGGTTGTATATTTGGGGATCCCCCAGTTTGTTTGTCATTTTTATCTTGTAAAACTGGGCAACCCCCCCCCACCCAAAAAAAAAAACAAAACCAAAAGCAAGATGACCCTATTTTTTTGGAAATTTGGAATAGTAACTTGTGAGAAAATGTTATTTTCTTACTGATAAACGAGCCATGCAAATTTGAATCCAACATGCGTCCTATGTTAAAACTCATACTTTCACCTCATAATTTCCCTCAAAACCAAAGAACGTTGCCCTCTTTTTACATCAACCCTGGCATAAGTTTTTGAGCATAATTTCACGGTCATCCAACAAGGTGAGCCAAAAGTTAAAATGTAGGCCTAAGCCTACATGATATGGGTCTCCCTTCTATTATGGGAACGCGGTCCCATATACAATCCCCTATATTCAGATTCTCGCAGTCCGGATGACGTCACTGAGCCTTGATCCTTTTCTCCGATTGGTCAGTTGGTGGCTATTCCATATTTCATGCTCGAAACTCAAAGGGGCAAATATAGCGTGGTGGTCTATGGGGAAATCTGAATTAGGCCTACTGACTAAACTCTTAATTATTAACTTTAAAAGGCTTTACATTCAACATGTTCAACATGTGCCTGAAATTTCACTATTTATGCGCTATGACTATATCCCACACAGTATCGAAAAGGTTTCAGTTATTTTTAACTTATTGCAGCAAAACAAGATAAAAACATGCAAATCCCTGTACAAAGCGAATGGAGAGATGCCCCTTTGCCCAGACGCCAATAATCATGAAACAACCTCTGACCGCGCGAATGCCACTGGCATATTCTTCATTCAATATATTCAGGGGTAACACTTTTCCTACCTCCATGCAGTAACACTGCTTGCTGCTGTTTTTCAAAATTCTGTATAGGTATACATGTACACATGTAGGATATCTGAAACTTGCCATTGATAGAATGACAGCCTGTAAATATGGCAAACATTCCCAGTGTCACAGCTCCACACGGCCAACATGTCCGACAACACGCGATCGATCATCGAATATTAAAAACTTAAAGGTGAGCCATTAGTACTGGACACTAAACATGAAGATTGAAGAGACAAAGACCACTCTCACCGTGTACTTCACTCTTCTGCACAAAGGGTCATTATCATCCGTTTAGCCATACTCAAAAAGTATTTTTTCTTCCCCGGGATGCAGCTGCTATGGTGCTGGATGATGGCGTACATGACCTTGTGTGACCAAGTCCAATATAGCTAATCAAATAACATTGCGAGAGATGCTGAACGGCTGTTCCATGTTTATAAGAGTTAGTTAAGGGGCGGAGTCTTCGCGAGATAGTTGAATATGATGAGACCATCGCATATTTACCGTGTTGTTTGGTCTCCAACGGTGAAATAAATTGAAAATTCTAGTGTTTTGTTTCATGAACTTCCTTTCTCCGTCATTTCACGCGCGACAGGCCGAGCCTAGTTGCACATTTTAATCGCTTAATTACTAAACACCGCCGCGCAACTTTCAGAACTGACGGTTACTGGCCTGTCTATCTGAACTAACAAGTAAAAGAACAAAAGCCGTTGTTTCATCCCAGACTTCGTTGGTGTCATTTCTCTAACTGACAATATGTTTGTGTATTGCTTGACTGATCATGCAATACTGTTTCTATGAGGAGTTTGGCAGTACTGCAATACATATAACTATACACAACAATATAGTATATAATCAGTGCTCTGAGTAATGTAATTGCCGAGCTTTCGGTAACTGGGTACCTTCGTCAGGGCCAGCAGATTTAGTTCAAATGAAAACTGGGGCTGGGGCTGGGGGTGGGGCTGGGGTTGGAGGTGGGCGTGGGTGACACCACATGGCTCTATGTTCATGATATTGATGTACATCTGTAATACGTACTCAGAAGGGCATATTTATGGCTTTTTAATTGTTTTTCCTTTCTGAGTGATATTGAACACATTTTAGTCCATGGAAGTCTGGAAAATTCTTCACAATCTGCTTTTTTTTTCTCCAACAAAAAAATGGTGGGATCATCCCCTACCTCAAAAGTGGGGGGATAGATATCCCCCCGGATCTACACCCATGCTTGCTACATAACCGTGCATCACCAATAATGCTTGCACTGACACTGTCTAAGTAATGCCCGCTGCAGTTACAACAGTGCTTGCTTTATTTACACAGACAAAATTATGAATATTGGATGCGGGCGGGGGGGTTTCTTGCTCTAAATGTATTAATTGACAATGGAGGCTTTGCGTGGTAGCCATCTTGCATGGCAGTTCTTTTGTTCTACAGGGAACTCTGTCAAAACCATGCAGAACAAAAGCATTGCCCTGTAAGATGGCCGCAATGCAAACCCTCAACCAATGTAAGGACCATTCACTAGGAAGGCTGGTCCTTTTAATTGACAGTATCCTTATTTTGACTACAAGGGTTTGTCTGAAAATAATGATATACTTGTATTTGATAAAAGACCATGATACATACCACGTCTCGGAGGAGGGTATTTACTTCTTTCTCAGGGATATGCTTGAGTAAAGGTTTTGTGCATTTATTGTAAGGATATAAAAATAATTCTAAAGATTATTGAAGAATTTTACTGGACCGGGGTTTGAACCTGCAGCCTCCGGAATACTGTACTGGTGGCTCTACCAACTGAGCTATCCAGCCCTATGTTGGTTGCTCTTCCCATTTGTCAATATCTATGTTCTTTCTATGTTTCAATCCCACTCCAGTAGATTTCTTTGATCATCTTCATCATCATTTATAAGCACCTAGTCAGGTTCCCTAAATAATTTGTTTCATGATATTAAAATAACAAAGAACAGCCTCTGAGACACCACCAAAGCATGACCTCTATCGAGAGAGCATGGTCAGATTTACAAAGATACAAAAGTATGGATTTACAAAAGCAAAAAGAATAAGTTAATTCCAAACATAAACAGGAATATTCATGACAAGCTGCCTGAGTGAAATAAAAAAATAACTACATAATACTTTTTGTTGCATGTAGATTTCCCTCCCCCAGAAAAGAAAGACAAACAAAAGTGTGAATTCAGCAAAATAGCCTCCCGACATAAGCTACACTGTCACCATCAAGATACACGTACTGGTTAAACTCTTGACATATACATGCACATGTATTTCACAATTTAAAAAAGTCTGCTGTGCGCCAGTGCAAACAAAATACGATACATAATTCATTTATGTAATGAGGAAAAACTATATTGCTTTTGAGGATCAAAACAAGGAGAAATTCTTGGGATAAATGTGACCTGATGATACGTACTTTGCAAATCCAATACCCAAAGATTCTCAACAATATTACAAATATTGGAATTTCTGAGAAATTTGGCCTGCCCCTTAGGCTAGACCAATCTGCCTGGGCTCAACTGTTTTATGAACTTGTATATTAATACTGAAATTCCCCCCCCCCCTTCCAAACTTTGAAAAGAGTTGTCTTAGGTTTGACTTTCCAGCGGGGAAAAGTCTGACGCTGAACAGCGCAAAGCTTGCTGCAAAAGGCTTAATTGTGACTTGCTGCCCGGCTTGGCAATTTTTACACACTGTTTGATTAGACACATCAGCCTGTAGAACATGACACGATTCTGCCTGAAAGATTACAAAGTGCTCACTCTCCTAAAGGACTGAACGAAATATAAAGACTTCACACTATGACCTGCAGGGGCAAATTTCATAGAGCTGCTTAAGCACAAAATTTGCTTAGGCACAAAATTGGCTAAGCACAAGAAACCCTTACTTGATAAATCAGGTCACCAGCCCAAACTCCATGTGTTGTACATTATTTTGAGATCGTATTTAGCTGTTTTTTGGTTAGCATAACAATCAGATAGAGTTTGAGCTGGCAATTTTTGTTCATCAGGCAAAGTTTTTTCCTGCTTAAACAAATTTTGTGCTTAAGCAGCTCTATGAAATTGGCTCAGCAGAACAATGGCGCAATGAACCTCACCAAAAAAACCAAAACAAAAGCAACCACCCTTCAATGGGGAACAGGGGGTTACAATTGACAGAGAGTAAAATAATACTGAACACGCCTTTCTCTCTCTCAAACACGTTGTGCTATTGCAGCCTGTGGCAAGCCTCTGAAGGTTCCCCCAAAGCCAAGCTCATGTGATACCTGTGGCTTAATTAGACACTAATCTCTCACAAAAAGCCGTTCCGGACGTTGGTAGTTTCTTCGTAAATGAAAAAAAAATGAAACAGAAAATATTTTAGAACTCGTATGTCATTGTTCAAACAATTCCAGCTTCAAAGGTTGGTACATTTTTATTCATAAAATTTAACACATATTTGAACCTGATGGACCCCCGACAAAAATCAATATTTGGGATGTGACAATTTGAAGACTGGAGGGAAGGGTGCTATGCGTACCCAAGGGTGTTCAAAACATCATATCCCACATCAGAGCAGTTGAAAGTTGTTTTGTCACTTTTCTGACTTGGTGTGTTTTACTTGTTTTCCTAAGGGAAATTAATGGCGACAAAGGGGTCTTTGAACAGTAGCGATCAGCTGTCCCTGTATCATCCTGCACACTGCATGCGTGTGATATCATATAATGCTTGCTGACGAGATGGGAGTGTGACATGTAGTTATGTCGCCTTGTCATGTGATCATTATGGGCCAATAAAGAAACAGAATCCAAGTCAGAGGTATGACAAATCAACCTATCAAATTTCCTTATTAGTTAACCTAATCCGTGCAGTCACCCAATTTAATTGTAAAAATGATCTTCCACCAGTTCATGCAACTTTCAGAGACTTGCCCAAAAAAAAAAACGGTGTGGAAACCCTGTTTAATCCAAGTGCGGAATAGAAATGACTGTTATCGCAGAAAAGATCTGTATACAAGATACAGCTGCATCCAAAGTTCTACACTGTTTCCTTTGCTGTCGCCTCGCTGCCTGTCGTAACTCCCAGCCGTTCACCCACGACCGCCAGCATGACATTAACCAGTGCGGTCAGGTCGTAGTGGTGGGTCCAGCCCCAGTCTGTCCGCGCTCCCGAATCTTCGAACCTCTGCGGCCAGGAATCGGCTGGAATGGGAGTGCAGATATCAAACGGTCAAACTAGGCAGGAGAATAAACCACTGATATCGCTGTTAAGTGTCACATCATAGCAGTAGGTCATGACACCAATTTGACAGAGAAAACCTTTGAAATATCAAATAAAAGGTCAATCTCTTGTGCTCAAGCAATAACATAAGCTGTGGCCTTTTATGACATTGCAACTTTGCTCATGAATACGTAACTTTGCATTTGCATAACCATAAAGCATTCTTTTAAAATAAGAGAACCATGACAAAAGCTAATATTTCATTTTGCTTGACAGTTACAAGCTTAATTCACAAATATGATGCATAATAAAGTGATAGCAATTTCATTATTAATATCTATGCAGTGCTGTAGTCGCGACCATCACAAGTCCTTGCAAGTCTATCACTAATCATCCAATTTGAAGCCAAGACACGATCTGTTCACATGAACAACGAAAAGCCATTCATTTATCAATGTTCACCCTGTATCTCATGACTGGTCTCATGAACATGATGAAAGAACTTGTGACTTGTGACAGTCTCGACCACAATGCTGCCTTCACCAGGGGCGATGGCCGATGGGACTTACCAATGTCTTGTCGCGAGTCTGGTTTATAGTCGACATCCAGCCGGGGGACCACCTTCTTGATCTCGTCGGCCAGCTCCTGCGGTGTGAAGCTGACGGCTGCGATGTTGTACGTCCTGCGACTCAGCTTCTCCTCGGGGACCTCCAGCATCTCCACCACGGCCCGCAGACAGTCATCGATGTAGATCATTGGCAGCATGGTGTCGGGCTTCAAGTAGCAGGTGAAGAGGCCTGACGTCAGGGCCTCGTCAAAGATTTGCACCGCATAATCTGAATCCCCCCAAAACAAAACATCCATGAGAGGCTTCTACTTAAGGGAACCAGTATACTTGCCAGTATGCCCAATCACCACGCATGGCGTCTGAGTCACAATGAGTTTGAGTTGAGTATGTTTCCACTGTGTAACACTCCGGTCAGTTTTCACACCACTGCACCGACCGTATCACTGCTCGGGATCACTACAACAATGTCAGTTGTCAAAAATTTTGGCTTGAATCTTGTAATTCCAGTCCAAGATTCAACTCTGCAGGGTCAAGTTTGAGTCTTACTCATTTATCATTGTGACTCGCGCCCAAGTCTGAGCCACAGAAAACGGAACTCAAAGCCCGAGTTATGATATAACACTCTGTAAGACTGGAAAAAAAGGGCACGATTGCATCGTGAGTGTAATAAAACTTGTATTTCAAGAAGGGTAAATGAGACGGGCCACTTTATTTTACACAGGAGCAACGTTCTTCAGAAGCTGACATATATATATATGTGTCCATGGAAAAAATTGTCCATCGAAATGAATTTCCTTTGAAAATACTAGCGACCCATAATGTCTTCATGTTTGACGCCGGGCACAGGGTGGCTGGAGCCTTTGGGTGTCGGCCAAACCCTATCTCTCTGATCCCCACGGAGGGCGCACTTGCGCAGAGAGTCCATTATTTTAAGAAACTTCACAGGGGCCGAGAGAGGGCGCCCTGACTCACCTGTTGTCCCCCCGCCAGGTGTCGTATCTCCCGATATGACACCAGGAAGCCTCAGTGAACGGAAGTCGACTCCAAATCGGTGGTGGTAATACTACAAAAAGCAGAACAAAAACAACAAACAAGATTCAAATGCACGCCACTGTAGATGCAAACTTGTGTGTAATGATGCTGAGTTGAAAGAACAATCAATCCAACGGCAGAGCACAAAAAGCAAGATTCAAATGCACGCCACTGTAGATGCAAACTTGTGTGTAATGATGCTGGGTTGAATGAACATTTCATCCAACATCGTGGGGAAATTAAAATATTCATTGAAATCTGAAATAAGCTGCTGTTTTCTCACAGCTGAGTGATTTCATAAACCCCTGTCACAGCTGTCAAATGGCAGATTCTGCTAAAATTGAACTGAAGCATACAAAATACTGCAAACAGTATGCACGGTACACTGCTATTTCACTGGCACACTGAATTTGGATGAAACACCAGGAAAATTGCTTGGGAAAAAAAGCGCTGTGTCAATTTACAACTAGCAAATCTTCCACTAAAATCAACCACTTTTGGATGACTTTGCAGGGTTGATAACAGTAAAGCCACTTTGACCTTATGTTCGGCTTGATGTCCGTTGAAAGTTAAAGACTATGTACAGTGTACCAGGATGCAAACCACTGACGTCCTGCCTGATAGATGTTGTAGGGTTCAGGAAGATCATAAAATGCCTAGGATTACTCAGATACAAGTTTCCTTTGAATAAACCAAATGGTGACAATTTTTCCCCACCTCTCCAAGAAGCTCTGCATGGACTTTGGACACCCCGTATATTGTCCGTGGCCGCTGGATGGTCACGTCAGGCGTTGGATTGCGGGGTGATTCCGGCCCAAAGGCTCCGATGGTGCTTGGGCAGAAGATCCGCAGCTGGTACATCTTTGCCAGCTCCATCACGTTGTGGAGACCTTGTATGTTGACCTTGATTGCCAAAGGAACATCCTGCGGGGGGGGATGGATTTACTTGATCGGCCGCCAATTTCACAAAATGTGGCATGAACTCGTGTCATTTCATGAGAACTTGCACAGATGTACAATATTTTCTGTCATACTGGTATTTTGAAAATTTTTGGACTCAGTTTTTCTGACTACTATTTTTGTATCAATTTTATGACAGCTTCTGAATAGCTGCTTTATCGATTTTGACAGTAATTGAAAAAAAAAAGCTACTGTCCTTTCTTTATGTGCAATTGCAAGTAAATATCTCTCTCTCTCACGGGTTAAGAGGTCTGCAATTAGCCCAAACTGCAACGCTTCACATTTCTTACATAAACCTTGATAAGCTGATCAGTTGATGTTCACAAATAGTAATGTTACCCATTTCTGAATCGCTTGCTGAAACATATGCTGAATCATATGGCAACGTAAGTTATCACAAATGTGATGTGAAGTCTCGGATCTACCTCATAAACCAAGCATTTGTGCAAAGCGCCGGGCAAAAAAACCAGTCTTGCCTCATCTGCATTACTGCGATCATCGGGCCATATATTGTATAAACTGATCCGAACCACATCACCTTGGGCCTGTTTCTTTTATGTGGATCCGGATGGCAATCAGTGATTGGACGGTTCACTGACACCAGAACGCGCCTGATGGAAGGCATAAATGAGCTTAGAAGCCATCGACTGAGATCCGTGTGAAACAAACAGCCACCTTGTTAACACCTCTGACATCACACTAAACATTGTCAGGTTGAGACCGTGTAAATGAACAAACTCATTGGACATCAAATACAAAGTATGTTTCTGGAAACATACATATTTGTCGTAAATACCAAATGTTTGACTTTTGGCTTTACTATATTGAGTAGTCACGAGTAACATTTTTTGACCAATATTTACACAGCAGGTGGAATGAAGCGCTTACAATCAAAATATGTGATAGAACCTTTCATGTTGCCGTGACTAAAACGTTATCAACGTACTAGATCTGAAAAAGTGCTACAGTAAAGGTTACATTATTTCAAATGAATGTTATTCTTCCATGAATGGTGCCACTATCGTAGAGTGTGCGCACGGGCTCACACAATTGTATCTTAATCTGAGTTGGACCAAGAGAGGGCCCAATTTTCCCAGCAACGCAGGCCGGGAAACTACAAACAACTACAAAATGCACGTGTACCGGTTGCGCCCCAAACCAACAAAATGAGCACTACTGACCAATGCGACTCTTTTCAACTGATGAGGGGGTGCTTCTGCTCAAGGCAAGGCAGCGGACAAGGCATCACGTTTCCTATTGCTTTACATGAATGACACTCTCCAGCGAACTATGCAGCGGCACTTAGAGGGCAGACTTGAGTAAAGGACGTGACCACCTAGGACAGGAAGAACCTTGTCCCCTTTGCGAGTCTGTGTCAGTCCTCCGTAGTAAAGTATAACTACACCATTACCAACTCTGAGAGACAACTTGCCTCTTCTCCGACGGCGCTGAGCAGGGCACTGAAGTGAACCAACCAGTCAATCCGCTCGTTAACGATCAGCTCCTGTACATTCTTGAAGTCCAGAACATCGGCAAAGTAGTAGGGACCTAAAACAGTCATGCAACTTTGCCTCAGAAAGAAAAGTAAATCTCAAGAGATTCACACGATACTTGGGCATCTGCAGTAGCTGGAATTTGTAGACTTACAAATCCAAAATGGTAACAGGTTTGAACCAAGCATATAAATTTACATGTATAATCATGTGTTGAACAGATTTTGAATAGTTTTCACTTTTCAAAAAATTCACTAAAGCCAAAATGAAATGGTAGAAAATTGGCCATGTGTTGGACACTAGAAATGTTATGTATAATGTCTATTTTGTTATTAATGCAAACCTTGTGCACTTGAAAATCAGTTTTGCTAAAGTCTGAGGGATGTTATTTAAAGGGTGAGAAACTTAACAGTATCAGAACAATTTTTTGCTGGGGAAATATCAGGCCATTACTGAAATACACTGCATCTAGTGGACTAACCATACAAACTACCGTCCAAGTCATGCACTGCCGTCACACATGCATGTAAATCCAGCCCAACTTCTATCAGTGACCAATTGTTGAGCACTGGTACATTTTGCCCGGTACCTGGGATGCATTTTATGCGTGGGTTACCAGGCGATATCTACCTGTGGTTGACAAACGGTCGCTGGTTGAACTTGGCCTGACTTACCGCTCTGGAGAATGTGCTTGGGCGGTTTGATTATGTCTGTCATGATGACATTGTCACGGCCGTACTTGTTGCGTAGCATTTTTGCTAGACCCTGCCCAAGCTGGCCTAGGGCTCCTGTGGTGACGGAAACCCAAAGTACAAAGAACTATTTTCATCACTGTACACAAAACTCAAGGTCATTTACCCTGAAGGGGTAATAAATAGATACACACGGTCATGGAGGTCTGCTCTTTACAAATGTGACAACGACTTCTCGTGTTGTCAATACACCCAATCATGGACGACAAAAAAAAGTCAGCACATTCATTCAAATAGTTTTGCCCAACATATGTATTTCATTATGAAGGGACACAAAAACATATACGGCTTGCATTTCTGTGAAAAGCGTCAAATTCGTTTGCTCTGTCTAGGGGTGTCCTTTTTCAGACATTTCGTGCAGGGTCTGCAGACATAAAATTACAAAGTACAAAATTTGCTGGGACTTTGGTTTCAGGAGCCTGCCCGACACTTCACCTGGACTTGCAGTGAAAAGAGTGTGCCAGCTGGGGATTTCCAGACATTACCTGTAATAAGTACCCTGGGGTTATCCAGGCTGGGCAAGCTGCCAAAGTCTTGCTGGGCCGGCAGCGTTGTTGACAGGCACCGAGCCAAGCCAGGCTTGTTCCCCCGACGTGACAGTCTGACAAAGGCAGCCCTGATCGTCCACTGAAACATGGCCGCCATGATGCCTTCACGCGAGTGCAGAATCTAGACAACCTTGGGCTTTAGACACACAGTTGACGATAACCGTTGTGGGATTCATTCCATTTCAATACCAGCATCAACTGTATGTCTTTTGCAGAAAACGCTAAAGCTACATTACACTGCAATAAATGGTATAACATTCGGGCAAATAAACAGTCAACAGCTTCAAGTACAAAATTACCAACACACACAAAGACAAAAAATATGAACAAACAAACAATGTACTCTTGTCCATGCAAAATGAAGGAATATCAGGTTTTAGTAAGATTCTCCTGTAGTTAACTTTAAACTGAGCGGAGAATATTTCTGATAAAAGGGTGCATGCATTTAGCCAATCAAATGTCAATCTCTGCATTGTACCAGAATGATGCACACGGGCCTTCAAAAGAAAATACCCAAACAACTCACAGATACCCAATGACCAACTCACAGATGCATAAAAGGGGGTCTGGCACCAAGACTTTGAGCGGCTGAAATGTTCAGGAGAACCACTGAAGATGTCTGGCTGAAATTCGGTCCACTACATTTAAGAACTTGGCCCGGACAAGAAGGTATTTGAGACATATGGTTAGAGTTTCTGAAGCTAGTCTTGGGTGGTCCCAAGTCATGTACTTGTACTTCTATGTGCCTTGCCGATACCGTTTCACGTGAGCTGAATGACCTGTAAGAGGTTCCAGACTGGGAAATTCCCTTCTTATGCCCAGCAAAATCTAATTGTATGCAAATCTTTGGCACATATGATCAGAAACTCCCCAATTGGGAGCTCAGTTCAATCTCATGCCACTAATTTACTTTCGGGGTGGTTAAGAAAATCATCCAAATTTTATTGTCATATCCTCTCCAAATAAGACTGCAAAGAAACCTGCCGGTATCAACAAAGACTTCTTTTAAAATTCTGAAAAATGCACAATGAAGGCACAACCAGTTTAACAAAAAAAAGAAAAAGAGAAAGTGAAAAAGCTTTTGTGTGAGCGCTGGGACACATACTGTGTCTCTTATATGTGACCCGCTCGGTAAAATTAAGTCACCAGCCTCCGGAGCTACTTTTGAGTTTTACTTTGTATTGGGTTGAGGAATTTGAGCTCTTTCTGTTGATTTGTCACTCAGTTTGGTATAATGAAAATGGGCATTGCATCGATGTTAAAATGTTGAGGATTCCTGTTGCTAATACACTGTGCCAGATTCTTTTGAAGGCCTTCAAGTCAAAAGTGGCTCTGGAGTCATATAGGACTCATTTTCACAGAGTGGGTCACATGTGGATCTGAATCTCAATCGGTGGTCCCTGCGCTGGTTCCCTTGCATGCTGGCATATTATGTGCTGGTGCCCCAATAAACTGCTTTTAGAAATGTCAGATTTTTCTCCAGGATGGATTTTGACAAATTAATAATAAAGTGTTGTTGGACTGTCAACTAAAGGAAGAAACTGGCCTTCAGACCTTTGAGATCAATCTCCAGGATGCACTCCCCCTACAAAAAACAGCTCCCCTACACTGGAAACTAATCTTTATTCAGAATTTACATTTATCTGTCAAAACTGACTTTGGCTACCACTCATATTCAAGTGAGCCTCTGTACAGCTCTCACCGGGATTTGCCAAGTACATGCCATCAAAATGGCATTATCTGTCCCCACTGTCAGTTCACTGTTGACAGAGTCAACAGCGGTCAACTGTTTGACAAATAATCCAATGGCTGAGTAAATCCACTCCTTTGTTGTTCAGAGATAAGCAGTCACACAATTCCCCTCATATTGTTAGGCTACACTTCTACTGCATTTCTTGACAAACCTTAGAACATGCTTAGACTGGAGATTCAGGTTGGTTTGTTTGCTTATTTCATAGAGCTGCTAAAGCACAAAATTTGCTTAAGCGGGAAAAAAATTGGCTCAATAAACAAAGGTTACCTGCTCAAATTTTATCCGATTGTCATGTTAACCGAAAAACAGTTAAATACAATCCCAAAACAATATACATCACATGGAGCTTTGGCTGGTTACCTTATTTATCAAGTAAGGTTTTCTCACGTTTAAGCGAATTTTGTGCTTAAGCAGCTCTATGAAATTGGCCAACAGAGCTGCTTAAGCACAAAATTTCCTTAAGCATGAAATAACCATGCTTAAAAAACAAAGGTAACCAGCTCAAACTCTATGTGATTGTCATGCCAACCAAAAGACAGCTAAATACCATTCCAAAACAATATTATACACCACATAGATTTTTGGGCTGGTGACCTGATTTGTCAAGCCATAGAGCAAGTTTTGTCCACGCTTGAACAAATCTCATGCTGTAGCAGCTCTATGCAATTGGTCCCTGAATGTGACATTGCCAAATGCCTGAAATTAGACCCAAACAGGCAAACATACTAACATGAACAATTTTGTTTTGCCACTAGCACCTTTTGGTAGGACAAGGTCTCATACATGTAGTTTAAATGTCACAAAATATTAAACCAAACTGAAAAAAACAACCACCGAATTTTGCTTTAAAGTTGGGACTTTTTAGCTGAACATTTCCTTCGGCCATTTTGTTCCATAACTTCTGCTTTTAGTCGGGCCAATGCAAATACGTGGTCAGAAAATGGCAGATGTCCGACTCCAATTTCACGACATGCCATTCACTTGGTCTCTTCCCCCTCCCATCTCGATCTCTCTGAACTTGGCAAATCCCCAACCCTGGGCATGGGGGGGGAGAGAGATTTGAAACAATTTATTTTTAGTCAAAGTAAAAACAGGAGTGAGATGCATATCTCCAACCTATGATCACGGGGTGAACGACTCCAGACCCTGAGTAGAACAGTGGGAGAGGAAAAGGGCAGGAAAAGTGGTGGGAGAAGGGCGGGGGAAATTGAAAAACATGGAATTCTATCAAACACTTGGCCGCTACAGCATACAGTACATGTACTAATCCAATTCCACTTATTACAATTTTTATCATTATTATTAATAATTTCTAGTAATGACACCAAGGATTCCTCAAAAGCACCATAAGCTTGCAAGCCGGAAGAAACCTGCAGAGTGGGGACAATGAGAAGCAGTTATGCCGGCAAACTCCAGAGGAATATTCTGGGTAAAACCCACGGAATCAGGGAGGGAGTGAAAATCCAATCTAAACGTGGACTAGGCGGGGATTCGAACCTGGACCACGGAGGTGGAAGGCAAGGAAAGAACATCTACAGTAATCTGACACCCCTTGAAGTGGAAATCTAGGAATAAACTAGTTACATATCACTAGTCACATCGCCCAGAATGATGCAAAATTACAAGAAGTTGATATGACGAAGAGACAAGAGATTGGTACCCGTACACAGCTTGAACCCCCTACCCACAGTAACGACCTCAGACATGCTCTCATCAACTCGGCATTCTATACCCAGCAAGAA